CCCACCACCTGCGTGCAGTCCTGGCCCGCCAGCGCGGCCTCCTCGACAACCTCCCCGCACTCCATGACTCCCAAGTTGCATGGCTGTTGCTCTCCACGTGCGCAGTATGCTCTCCGCACGCTCCCGCTTCAATGCACGCACAGACCACGATTGCGCAGTCCTCCGTTGCCTTGCCGCGCTTTTGTTTGCCGATGAGGCGTCACACCTGCCTGAGCCTGCTCAAGCACGCGCACAGCTTGCATTGCGGCACGGCGGCCTCGGCCTGCGCAGTGCGACACGGCACGCGCCCGTTGCCTACTGGGTTTCATGGGCTCACGCGTTGCGCGCTATAGCCCGGCGCGACCCCGACTTCGCAGACGAAGTCGCCGGCTCCCTCGCCTCTGACCGGCCACTCCCGTTGGCGCACTGCAATCGGCACGAGACGCCCGCGATTCACTTTCTGCCATCGGCTTTGAGCTTCCTGCATTCGCGGAGTTGCTGCATGCTCCAGTGCCAGCCCAGCCCGAAGAGGACCCGTCCCTTGACTCAACTCGCGGTTGGCAGCGCCAGGCGTCCCAAGCTGTTAACAGCTTTTGCCATAGGGCCTTTCTTCGCGAAACCGACGCTGCCTCGGCTGCCCTGCTGGACTCGCAGGCTGGGCCTCATACGGCGCGCGTTCTCACCACCCGTCCCACCTTGCCGGAGTTCTCGTTGGAGTCGCCGCTCTTCCGTGCCATCCTGTTGCGCAGACTTCGCTTGCCCTTGCCCCTAACTTCTGCCAGATGCCGTTGCCGCGCACACCTCGATCCTTGTGGTGACCACCTCGCCGCCTGCCCGCGTTCCGGCCTTTTTGCGGTCGAGGGGCGGCCACCTCGAGCGTGCTGCTGCACGGGTGCGCAGAGAAGCTGGGGCAGCGGTCGCTCTCAATGTGCTTGTCAGGGACTTGAATGTCGACCCAGTTCGCCAAGACGACCGACGCATTGAGGTCATTGCCAATGGCCTTCCGCTCTGGGGTGGCGCCCAGCTTGCAGTTGACACCACGCTCGTCTCCCCCCTTACTGCTGCCAGCCTCCCGCGCAGGGCTGGTGGCCGTACTGCCGGAGCTGCCTTGCTCACTGCAAGACGAGCGAAAGAGCGGACCTACCCTGAACTGTGCCAACCGCTGCAGGCTCACAGTCCTCGCTCTCGAGGTTGGGGGGCGTTGGAGTGCCGAGGCCGCGACCTTTGTCCGCTTGCTGGCAAGGTGTCGGGCACGGTCCGTGCCCTCACCCTCACGCGCTGCCGCCATCTCGGCTTTCATTCTCCGGTGGTCTACGCTCTTTTCCTTTGCAGCTGCGCGCTCTTCGCAGCCAGCCTGTTGTCCTTGCCCCTTACCGGCACAGCAAATGTTGAGCGACATCCTCGCCGACTCGCCTTCCCAACCCCCGCTCGCTAGCCGTGTGGTGTGACTGCGCTCTGCGTGCGCCGCCTGCCGCTTTTTGCTGTAGACTGTTGCCTTGGCTTTGGGCTTTGCACAGGGACTGCGCTGCTTTGGACGGTGGTAAAAAGGTCCGTGGGGTAAAAAACAGTGCTTTGTTGCAACTTGTCATTGGCAAGTTGGATCAACTGCTTCAGCTCACTGCTGTTCTGCAGGTCATCCCATTGTGCCCATTCGGGGGACCAGTCACAAAGCAACTTCTGGTTGGAGATGTGCACCGTGACGACCACATTGGGCCCAACCTTGAGGCTGGTAAACTTATCGTCCCACGGCATATCCCTCTTCATGAAACCAAGTCTTGCGTAGCCCACACTCGTTTGCCCTTCTCATGCATTTCGGCACTTCTCAACAACGCCACTGCCGTGTCCCGGTCCACCGAGGTTCTGAATTTAGCAAACAGCAGCCCTTGAAAAGTTTGCGAATTCATGTATGTGCCAGTGTGTGATGGGCCTTGCAATGCGCTCAGCTTAGTTGTCAACCATGTTGTGGCGTCTTGCAGTGATGGCAATGCATCCAAGTTTCCAATCACCATAGTTCGCATATAATCCTGCTGGACGCTTGACTCCGATGTTCGCAAGGCGGCCACCTGTGATTGCAAATCGTTGATTTGCTTCTCCAGCTGAACACTGCGTTCCGATACATGCGATCGCGGTGTGCCTTCTGTATGCATCACAAGCTGCTCCAATTTATCGATTCGCAGACTTGTTCACCAACCGTGCTTTCGATCTTGTCAATGCGCTCGTCCAAAGTGTTGTGAATGTGGTTCAACTTCTGTTCAACGGGTGCCGATCCCCTTTCAATTTCAGCACGAACAATGTTTCCAATGGTGGCCACCGATAAACCTATCGATCCATCATCGTGCGTGTCCTCATCCATCTCGTGCAGAGGGGAGCGAGCTGGTCTTTCACGGATCTAGTAGGCGGCGTCATCCCGGCTCCCATGGTCATCACACTTCACGCAGACGTCGCTAGCCTCCGTTTTCGAGGCACTACCGAATCCCTAAGGTGACGCTTGAGCCAAAATGGTTACGGTGTGCAACAGCGCAGGGGGGGAACCCCCGGACTACTCGAGGAGCTCCACCGGAAAACCCCGAGCATCCTTGCTGGACGCAACATTGGGCCATCCCTGCAACCTGACAAGGCGTAAAAGTCTTGGGTAACCCCATCGGAAGCCGCGAGTTCATCGCCACGCAGCTTGCGCAGCGCTTGGACGAGCAGGACCGTCTGCTGAGCGATCCCACGCGTCCTCCACCTGCAGTTGGCGTGTTTTTTGCTCCTGTATTGCCCAGTTCCCCGTAGCACATACCTGCTGCATTTGGTGGCGATGGCGACATGCCGCTTTCGAAGTCGGCCACCGGCGAACCCAACTCCCCTTGAGCATGGGAGGGGTTTGCCGATCAGCAATGCCACGCTGCATACTGGAGCTCTTGGGCGGCAACACCAATCGGGCGTTTTGGCCACTTTTCTCCGCCCGCTGCTGGACGCGACTGCTGCAGCAGACACGCTGCCCGCTTCCTACGCTCACGAGGTTTCCCTGCGCCAACATCGGCGAAACTGCCGGGAGGATGGCGCGGCCCCCACCGCCTGCTTGGTCGCAGGAGTCGTTTATTACTGAGCTTGCATGACCTCACGTTTCGAGCGTTGCTGCTGTCGCAAGGCAGCGATGCGGCGAGCTGCACCTCACGGCTTCCCAAACGAGTGCCCACACCCGAGTGCCGGACGAGGAGTGGAGTCATGCTGCTCCGCAGACTCCGACACAAGCTCGGGCGCGCGTCCGCCATAACGGCGATACGACGCACCGCCCATGCACACGGCTGCGGCGCCACGGTCAACGTCTACGACGATGGGCCTGGTCGCCCTAACCACTCGAGCACGCCTGGATCCGGGTCGTGCGCGAGGCAGTTGGGCAGGAGGGCCAGGTCGTCCCCCAGTAGTGGCTCGCGAGGACGCCCGCCCCTGGCGTCGACCCGGACGATCGACGGCGCCTCGCCTTCGTCGCTTACGGCGCTACGCTCCTCGGCGAGGCGCGGTGCGACGTGATCCTGGTGTCGCCGCTCACAGCGATGGGTGCCCACAGCCCTCCGCTACCAACAGAGATGGTGCTGCCCTCGCCGTTGCTGAGCGCCGCAAGCGCGCTGCCTACCTTGAGCTCCTCCGGCGAGGACCGCAAGAGGCTTTGCGTGCTCGCGTGCGAGACCGGGGGGCGATGGAATGACGAATCGCTCCTCCCCATCGCGCAGCTCGTTCGCCTGCGCGCCCTGCGAGCCCCCGCTCCGCTCCTAGGAGCTGCCACCCAGGGCTGGTGCCGGCGTTGGTGGGGCCTGCTACGCGTGGCTGTGCAAAGCGCGCTTGCTGCCTCTGCTCAGGTCGCCGCCCATCCACGCCCCTATGCCTGGTGCGCAGGAGCCGCCTCTGCAGGACGTCCTGCACGACGCGTGCCCGCCTGTGCCCACCCGCCTGCCGGCGCGCTGAGCCGCTGTGGCCGTAGCCTGCAGACCGCACGTGGATCGCTGGAAAAAATCCGTTGGGAAAAAAGAAAAGTAAACTTGCGCATGAATCGGCAAAAACCGGGCCTGTGGCGCCCACGCCGCCAACAGCGCTGGTCCGGCGGTGAGAAGGCCGAGCCCGTCGAGTTTAAGCCTCTGCGTTGCACTCGCCCTGTTGGCACTCGTAGTCTGCAGCTTCGTACGCCGGAACCGCTTTTAATAGCAGGCAGATGGTGTGTTTACACATAGGCAACGCTGCTCAGCCGAAGCAGGGTTTCGTAAAATCAACAGCTAAGGAAAGCAAAATCAGCAGCAACAGCAACAGCAACAGGCACCAACACAATCAAGCCACCAGCGGCCAAACAGCGCTAAGTCAGAGAGATAGAGAGAGAGAGAGACAGAGAGCGAGCGAGCAGCAACCACGAGAAGAAGCAGCGCAGCAGCAATAACGACGACAACAGCAACCCTACAAAAAAAAAGTGGGTCCTTACAGTTTTTGTTCCTGGCTCACGGGCTGTGCGGTTTGGTTCGACACGGTTCCAAAACGACGAACATTCACAGGCCACTACTTTGAACACAGAGCTTTACTTTGCAGTACTATTGCGATCTACTATGAGCGCTGAACACGAATGAACTGATCCCTTGCGATGTTCGCCCTTCAACTTCGTTGATGTTGCTTACCGCTGAAGCTTTTCACGTCGACAAGCATAAGAAGCCAAGTGTCGTGACAGTAGGTGCGCGTGTGTTCCCTCTAGACACACAACAGTCAGACAACACGTTTTGTTCTCCAAAGTTTTCATAAGGTTCTTTCTTTTCGTCGCCATGGCCGGAATCACCAGCGCAGAGCTTGCTGTGCCACTAGTGGATGGTGCGACCTTCGCAGAGACCTCTGCGGAAGATGCGGCCTGGTGCTTCTCGCGCATCACTTTCAGCTGGGTTGGCGGCATCATCCAAGAGGGCTACAAACGCGAGCGGCGCAGAGCGCAGCAATCCGACAGTACTCAAACTGGGCCGCTGGCCTTGACAGACAAAGATTTGCTTCAGCTGCGGAGCGATGACATGGCTGAGTGCTTGTCGGAGAAAGCACAGCAGGCGCTATCGGAGGAGCAGCGGGAAGAAAGACCGTCCTTGGTGCGTGTGTTACGCCGAGCTTTTGGCGGGCCTTTCATGTTCGCGGCAGCATTCAAAATCGTTTATGACAGTTTGCAGATGGCAGGCCCTTACATTCTCAAAGCCATCCTACACTTTCTGGACCACTGTGACGGATCTTCTCCGAGCCAATGCACTCTTGAAGAAGGCATGTCCTACGTTGCGTTGATGCTGTTGAGCGCTGCAGTGCAGACAATGGTTCTGCATCAATACTTTCACCGGTGCTTCCGTACTGGAATGAGATTCAATGTCGCTTGCATTTCTCTCGTTTACAACAAATCGTTGAGGGTGGATGGAGCCGCGAAATCCAAAGACTCGAAGCAGCGAACATCTGGAGAGATCGTCAACCTTATGGCTGTCGACTCGCAGCGCCTTCAAGATTTCGCTCCTCAACTCCACCCCTTGTGGAGCTCACCGTATCAGATTATCATCACACTGATATTCCTTCATTGGGTAGTGGGTTGGGCAACTTTGGCTGGACTCAGCGTCGCTTGGATATTTTGTGCATGTCTCTCCTGCGATACAGGAACCGCGATCAAAATGCATAGTCCCCCACCCCCGAGACGTGAAAGCACGAAAGGTGATGCTTGTGCAGATTCCAGCGGTGGCAGTGGTAGCTCGACGAATTCGCCTTGCGCAGCGTAAGCTTATGAACCTTGGGCATGTTGTCGGCTTTTTTCTGCTTAGTTGGTTTCATGAAGTTTTGTCAATGGAACGGATCAATGCCTCGAAAGTCTCGGTTTCTCAAGCATCCCACAAGGACCATCAAAGACGAACGAATCAAGCTCACCAACGAGGCTTTTGGGTCCATCCGGCTCCTGAAAATGTGTCCCCGATAAATTATTGTTTCCTCAGGGCGACGCAGGCTAGCAGACTAGGCTGAGACTCCGACAATCGCAGAGATGCAACAGAAGAGGTGAGTGAGCAATTCGTTGTGCAACTCGTGCCGTGCTCGTGGCAGTGCTGGCTGAGGTATGGTTGGGAAGATTCTTTTGAGACAAGATTGGACGGCGTGCGTGAGATGGAGCTCAAGCAGCTCAGGAAATACCAAATCTTGAACATCATTAGTTCTGCAATGTGGGCGACAGCCCCGATTCTTACTGCCTTGGTTCCTCCGTTCATGTTGGTTTTTTTGGGAGCTGAGATCAAGAGGATTGGATCTTGTAGTCTGTGAAATCCCCACACCGAACTGAGGCTACGTTTGCGGTGTACTGTTGGCTCTACAAGGAGCTGACTGCCAGCACAGCCTTCACTGCTGTGGCCCTTTTCAACGTTCTGCGGTTTCCGTTGACTATGTTCCCACAAGCAGCCGGCTCAGCGAGATCTTGCGTCGTTCGTAGTGTTTTCTGAATTCTCTCATAGCATAAGTCCAGCCAAAAGCGTCTCGAGCTAGCTTTTTCTAGGCAGCTCTTACGACCCGATGAGGCGATCACGACAGTGGTGGAAGCCAAAGTTGCAATCAGGCGCCTGGAGGATTTCTTGTGTGCACCTGAAATCCCAGGACGCAGCCAGGCAGCATCCAAAGGTTTTGCAGTGGAAGTTCGTGACGCCGAGTTGGCGTGGCCGAATGGAAGCCCACTTCTTTCGAAGGCCAACTTCACCGTTCCAGCACCGGTCGAAGGACAACAGACAGCTCACATGACTGTTGTGCTCGGGGCAGTTGGTGCCGGCAAGTCTGGACTGCTTCAAGCTCTGATTGGGGACATGAGTCCAATGTCAGGCATTGTGTCGACAGCTGGGCAAATCGCATACACGTCACAAGTGTCATGGATTCGAAACGCTTCGGTCCGAGACAACATTATTTTCAACAGCAGTTTCCAGGAGGATCGCTACAAGGCTGTGATCAAAGCTTGCTGTCTATTGCCAGATTTAGAAGCTTTGCCCAATGGGGACATGACAGAGATCGGTGAAAAGGGCGTCAATCTGTCAGGAGGACAGAAGCAAAGAATTTCATTGGCGCGTGCTGTCTACTCTCAAGCGGATCTTATGCTGTTGGACGACCCGCTGAGTGCCGTGGACTCGCATGTTGCGAAGAAGCTGCTGAAGATGTTCAAGGGCCCTTTGTTGTCAAGATCCTCCATCGTCCTGTGTACACATCACCTTCAAGCGGTGCACAGTGCAGACCAGATCATTCTCCTGAGCCGCAGTGCATCTCAGCAGACCGGCGCGGATCCCAGCGATGTCCCTCTGGATCTTGAAGCTGAGAGCCTGTCTTCGTCAGCTGAGTCCACTGAAAAGCAATCCACACAGCCTGTGCCCAAGATAGCCTTTTGCGGATCCCTGGCCGACTTTCAGAAGGCCTTTCCCAAGCTGGTGGCCAAGCGTGGGGATGGGGATGCGGCTTCTTTCGAGCGTCAGACGAGCGATGAGCCAGCGCCCTCTGAAGGCAAAAGCTCCGAAGCCGGTAAGTTGGTGCAGAAAGAGGAGGAACAAATCGGCTCTGTACCAACCGAAGTCTATGGGGCTTACATCAGTGCAGCAGGTGGAACATGCGTGGGTGTGGCAGTGGTGTTCGGAGTCTTGTGCGGTCAAGGTCTCCAGTCTGTTGCAGCCGCCTGGCTTTCATACTGGTCTGATCACAACACCCCCAAGAGCGTGCCTCACATCACGAGCTTAGTGGGACTGCTGGGATATGGTGGTCTCAGCATCACAGCGCCTTGACGATTATCTTGAACATGACGCAAGCCTGTTGTTGGGGTGTAAGTGGGGCACGTTTGGTCGGCTTTCCGCTTCTCTCTTGAGTCTTGTGTCGCCTGGAGAACTGGGAATCGAATCTCTGTTCAGACAAGCCTGTGTTCTGTGTGTTGAGGCGTTCACTGGAATCTTCTTGACGAGCGCATTATTCAGAATGACAGCCTTGAAACTCGGCTCCACAGCGCCACAGCGCTTCCCCTGGGGTTTCCCGAAGTGGGCCGCAGAGTCTATGATTTGAAGTTCACTGGTCAGGTTTTCGTTTCGGGGCGGAGAATAGAAGTTGAGAAATCACGCGCATATTACGCACACTCAGGAAAGCAGCACGTGCCTTCCACCGAAAGCTCCTGGCAAATTTGCTTCGTTTGCCGATGACGTTCTTTGACACGACTCCACTTGGCCGTGTTCTCAACCGGTTTCTCCGCTGGAACTGCAAATAGTGTTTCAGTTGGTGGTTTGGGTTTGCAGTCTTGGAGGTGAGGTAACAGACGGACTGCGTGGCTCTTTCCATGTCCCTTTTGCCGGAACAGCCCAGGTTTTCCAAAGATATCTACACCATCGACGAGGTCTTGGTAAACAACCTCTACAGCTATCTCCAAGTCTCGTCAGTTGTTGTATGCACGATCATAGTGATCTCCGTCGCAACCCCGTGGTTCCTAGTCATCATCTTCCCGCTCTTGCTGCTCTACCGAGCGACACAGAACTTTTACATCCCGGCTTCCAGACAGCTGAAGCGCATCGAATCCAATTTGCGATCTCCCATCTTCTCGCACTTTTCGGAGACCTTGGATGGAACCGCGTTGATCCGCGCCTACGGCCAGCAGGACATCTTCATCTCGGAGAGTTTGTTTCGCGTGAGCCGAAGCCCGGGGAGTTCCTAAAACTTGAGAGTGATCGAACCCTCAAGATGAAGCAGTTGCAGAAAACAACAAGAACAGCAACAGCGGTCACAGCATAGAAAAGAATCATGGTGACAATACGATAAAACCACATGGCCTGCTCTGGAGGTATGAGAGCCTACTACTCCAACATGTCCTCCAACCGCTGGCTGGCTGTCCGCCTCGAAGCTGTGCCGCAAACCCCTCGAAAGTTTCGCGAAGATTTGGAAGATCGCGCCGCTTCAACCTGTAAAACAAAGCCCAAACTGCTTGAGCACCTGCGGCATCGCTTGAAGGATGGGCAATTCCAGGCCAGCGACTACAGCGGCCTCTTAAGTCTGCTTTCCCCGGCATGTCCTGCCCCACCAAAGCAGAAGCATGAGAACCGAATCCAACGAGCCCTTGCCTTGCCGCGTCCCAATGAGACCCAGGAAAGCTTTGGAGCTGCCATCACCTTCTGCGCGGGGACGTTGGCGGTGCTGGGGCGAAACAGCATCAGTGCAGGCAGGGAGGGCGCAGAACTCTTCCGGAGCGAGTCAGGAAATTACGTCGAAACGTCACAACTTTCAGTCTGCAGAGCCCCGGCTGCGAGGTGTTGCTGGCCTCTCCATTTCCTATGCTCTCTCGGTGACGCAAGCCCTAAACTGGGTGGTGCGTATGGCAGCCGACCGCGAGACGAACATAGTTTCGGTGGAGAGGGTCCGAGAGTACTTGCGACTGGACCCAGAGCCTCCCCATCACCAGACTACGGACCCAAGTCCTCAGACGTGGCCGAGAGAAGGTGCAATCGAATTTAAGGACGTGTACCTTCGCTACCGTCCCGATTTGCCTTATGTTCTCAGTGGTTTGAACTTGAGCATTCGTGGTCGAGAGAAGATCGGCATTTGCGGTCGCACCGGTGCTGGCAAGTCTTCTGTGTTGAACGTGCTTTTGCGGCTGGTGGAGGCAGGGTCTGGAAATGTGTTCCTGGATGGGCTTGACATCAAGACTTTGGGCTTGCACTGCTTGCGCCACAGCCTGACGATCATTCCTCAAGACCCCATCTTGTTCTCTGGCAGCTTGCGCTTCAACTTGGATCCTGTCGGCGAAGCCTCGGATGCAAGCCTTTGGCAGAGTCTGCAGCGCTCGCACTTGTCGGATCACGTCTCGACCTTGGACAACGGCCATGGGGATCGAGGCCTTGAGAGTGTCGTCCAGGAGCAGGGCAAGAATTTTTCTCTGGGCCAGCGGCAGCAGATGTGCTTGGCACGGGCTTTGCTGCGATCCAACGTCGTTCTTCTTTTGGATGAGGCTACGTCAGCCGTGGACAGGGATACCGACAACCTGATCCAAGAGACCATCCGGAGTGAATTTGCTAGCCATACGGTCTTGTGCATCGCACACCGCATTTCCACAATCATGCATTCCGACAGGGTTTGCGTTCTCGACGCCGGGAAAGTTGTGGAACTTGCATCCCCGCAAGACTTGATGAAAGATGCGTCTTCCCATTTTGCTAAACTCGCCAAGCTGGATGCCATGGCATGAGGCAAGTTGTGGTCTAGTATAGCTGAAACGAACAGACCGGCAAGGCTCCGCGTTGTGAGAACGCGTTACAGAGCCAAAAAGTGAAAGTGATTCCTGTCCGCCCTTGCGAGCCATATATGACCGGATTATGATGCAGAGGGGAGGGGGGAGCGTCAGCGGCCGCAGCATTTGCAGAGCCCAAAGAAAGCCGAAGCACTCCCCTGGAGGGAGGCGGCTGGGGGCTGGGATGGGCCGTGGGAGCGCCTCTCGGAGCCGCTCCGGAAGGCGCAAGAGAAGTAGACGCTCGGCGTGGGAGCACTTCGCGCGTCACTTCGTGTCTTATGCATATGTCTCTGCCCTTCCCAGAATTCTTGAGAGGGCGACTTAGGCTGGTTCGAGCTCCTCGAAGAGATCGTAAGCTTCAGGCGCATGGAGCTAAATCCCAGCTAAGGATCAAGGGCGCGCAAAGAGAACCGCAGCCGGTCGAAGAATCGCAGATCCAAATCTCGCCTCTCGCCTGAGAAGCACCGTCGAGCAGAGGCTAAGAGGAACGAAGGAAGTCTCACACAGGGGCCTATGAAATGCGAGGCAAGGTTTCAATTACTTCGGATTTAGGGCTGATTGACGTTTCGCCATGGCCATGTTTTCGCTTCGATACAGCGAAGCGAGTCTGATTTATTCTTTCTTTCGAAGAAGGAAACTGCTCTACCAGGGCCCTTCGACAAGTTTTGTGGGGCTACGCGAAACATCGGGAAGCCCGAACCCTTACCACCACAGTTTAAAGTGAAACCCAAAATCGCAGCCGGCATTCTTACACTGTTACTTCGGCTGAGCTGTTTGTCTGCAGTCCATGCGACCAAGCCCAAGGAGATCGTAGAAGGCCTTCCTCCGAGAGCGCTTCGCCCCGCAAGCGGACGCCCTCTCCGAAGCGGCGCGCCGCAGCGTCGAGGTCCAAATCTCGAGGCCTTGCCTTGATTGGAGCTTTGGGGACCGGTTTCCTTGGGATGCTTCCTGCCAGGCGATGTCAAGGCTTTGCTTGCTGCTACGAGTAGAGTGCGAGTGCGCGATGACAAGCGGCCCTCCGAAGCCTGAGCTCTTGTACTTGTACCGAGGACGAGCAACTCGGAAGCAGCAGAGATCAAAGACACCAGAGCGGGTGCCGCCCACCAGCTTTGCAGAATCTTGGCTGTTCTGAGAAGCCTTCTTTCGGAGTTTCGCCAAGAACTCATGAACTGCAGCATCCCGCAAGTTTTACTTGTTTTAAAAGCCAATTGTCTATCGCGCCACAAGGACTATGAACCTGCTCCTGATGGAAGCGGCTGGTACGTCTACAAGAAGACTAGCACCTTTCTTTGCATGTGTTCGTGTTCAGACAGCTGAAGGCTTGTGAAGCGATGTGAAGCGCCAAGCAGGGAAGGCGAAGACCACACTGCAGCACGGCCTGAGGTAAATGGAAATTCCACCCCGAGACTGGGCTTTACCTCCACATCAAGAGTGGAGTATACTACATACAGAAGGAGGGCGACCCGAAGAACTTTCGGAAAATCGACGACGACGATGACCCCGTCGTCCGGAAGATGAGCCTTGGCTTGGTCTTGGCTTTCTGCCTCCCCGCCTTTTGTTGAAAGGCAGCGTCGTCCCTAAAACCCCAAAAGGCCCCTGAAGTTTGGTTTTTGAAGCCGTGCCGAGGAAGCAGTCGGAGGAGATGCGGAGGGCCATCCAGTCCACCGAGTCCCTCTGCCAAAGGGATCGCTAAAGGACTGGCATTCCTGCGGTTTCAGAATCTTGCGGTCCGTTCACGTGCCTTTCTTACTCTCCGGAACTCCCGTCTACCGGGGAGCTTCTTTGCTGTCATTGTCGAGGTTGGACGCTTTGTTGTGCATTGCTTCTCCATCACCGACTCAGGATTTTGAAATTGGACCGAGGCTATCAGGGTTAGGCTTCCTCGAAGGCTCCTGACAGACCGCGAATGAAAGAATCCCAAGCCGAGAGTCCGGAGCGTTATCATCAGAAACATAGAAAACGGAGATCTGAAAAGCTTGAGATAAAGAACGGTCCGGCCAAGGTTCGTCCACTTCGGGGAAGGAGCAGCCGCGGCTGCGGCCCCCCCTAGGGCCATCCGGGAAGATGGCGTCCCTGCGGCTCCCGCACCTTCACGGGCCAAGTAGGGTCTCTGTAGATCTTGTTCGCTCTGGGTCTTGATTGTTGTGTGTGCGTTGCCTATAGGTCTTGTGACGGAGAGTTCCTGAGCCGAGTTTGTGGAAGTCAATCCGTCGGCCTCGGACCGTCTAGCCGTCTAGCTGCCTACAGCCTTCGCCTTGGCAAAGGTAGAAATTGCACCGGCACCGCGGCCTCCGGAGAAGGAGAAGCCGGAGGGAGAACCCGACAAGAAGATCGAAGGGAGGGTGCGCCATGGGCAGCGGATCTTGGTGTAAGGTTTGAAGGACAGTGCCGAGACTTCCGGCTTGGAAGTAGAATGCCTTCGGAAAGCCAGAGGTGCAAGCTTTCAAGCCGCAAGCACCGCTGATTCCCCTCGAGGTGCGGGAATGGAACGCCGAGAAGGGCTTCGGCTTTATCATTCCCCTCGTTCGGGAGGACGAGGAGGCTCCGAAGAGCATCTTCGTACACTTGTGGACTCTTGGCGATACGTATTTCCTAGGGCTCTGGCGCCCTTGAAGCCCGAAGATGACCCAAGGAACGTGGTGGGCAGCACCAGCAAGAACCCCATCAACCTCCGGGAGGGCTCCAAGGTCCTCTACAAGTTGGGGGAGCCTGCGGCCGCATGAAGTGCCTCGCGATTTAGGGTTAAGGGTCTCCTTCGGAGGTCGGCTTGAGAGAATTTCAACTACTTCACAAGACCGTGCTTGAAGAAAAGCCTGCAGGAAGGCTTTTGGGACGTGGGGCTTTAAAGAAAATCATTCAGATGCAAAGCGTTGCGGGTCCATGTTTCCTCCCCCATGCGTTACCGCGTTTCGCCAGCTTGCATGTGGCAAGAGCTATCTTGAATCATCGGCCAACAGCAGCCTTGCAGAGGCTTCACTCCCCTGCACCGGCTGGATCCCCAAGCCCTGCGCCCCAATACGAGAACCCCTCGAGCCGAAGAGACTGTGCGCCAAGGAGCAGGATGGAAAGCCCAGGGCACAAGACGTTGTCATGCTCGGGAAGGACATGGCTTTCTGGAGATTCAGGGTCCAGAACTTGGGGTTCGCATTTGCATCCCGACATCGTGACTGGAAGGACGGCAAGCCCCTCCCTGTGCATGCGGGCGCTCAGAACCTGGAGGACTTGTGGCGGTTCAAATATTCGGGATCAGTGCAGTGCTGTATGAAGTGCACCTCTACAGGTTTGTGAAAGCAGCAAGCGTACTCGTCATTTAAACTACTCAGAGGGCTCTCGAGTTCTGCTGGGCTGCACTAAGACCCGCGAGTAGTTGTTGCGTTGCTCAGCGTTCAGTCGGAACAGCTGCGACCCCACTTAAATGAGGTCATGCGAGTGCTCAACGGCCATTCGAAGTCTAAGTCTATTTTGTTAATGGTTAATGTATCGGCTACAGAGAAAGCGATACCCCCCTTCAATTGGAGATGCTTCAGCACCTTCGACCAGAAAATTTGGACATGAACCATTGGTAGTCACCCTGAACCATGCACCCCCCTAAAGACTCCTTTGTTCAGAACTTTGGACTAAGGAGAAAAGAAAGAGCTATTTCGTCACGGCCGAGACGCTTGGCGTACCTTTGCTCAAACGAGAACTTGGGGGCGACCAACGGAACCTGCTGTACAGCATAAGATAGGTTGCACATGTCGGAACTCCCATCACCTTCCAGTCCAAGCCGTAGCTTCAGTGGCAGGCGCTGCAACCAACAAGCTACTGGAATAGTTCCAGAAGTTACTCCGTGTGCTTACTGCGTGTCTGCCTCATGAGCCGACTCGCGAACGCCGAGGAGTCAGGCGGTCAACCCACCCCGCCCCCACCCCGCCAGAAAGTGATACGCTGCATTCCGGCAGGACTGCGGGTGTCCGTAGTCATACCCCGGAGGTGTACTCAGAAGCTTCCGCTACAGGTACCATGCTGTACCATGCCATTTTCCCTTTCCTCCTTAACATAGCTCAGACAAAGAAAAAAGAAGAAGAGTACTTAGCACGACAATTTGCACGACCGTTAGAAATACTACTGCGAAATACTGCCAGTACGCATGACGAAAAGAAGTCCAACTTGCGCAGTGATACCTCGTCTGGCATTGTCCGAGTTGGGAGGGTGTAGGAGACCAGTGCTGCTCACAACTACTTGGACAGTTGCTGCGAGAAACTGCGACACTTCCTCTATGCGCAGGGCAGGGCGGGATTTTCTGAAATCTGGGCAGGATTCTGAGGCTGCGCCTTCAAAGTTGACGCTGTCACTTTCGCAAGGCCGTATGACAGACTTTGCGTTCTCCAAGGCTTGTGGCACACAAATCTGTAGCGACTTGTTCAACTATCTGTTGATTGTATATGTACCGAAAAGCAGACCGCCTGTTCGATAAGGTGCGGGTTCATGCGGAAAGCTGGCCTGGCAAGCAGATCGAGTTGCAAGACCGATACGCCCAGGATGAGGAGATCGGGCAGTCATACTTTCTTCCTATTTCGTTTATCTAAGAAACAAGAGAAACACCCCCCATCCCGGCCGGGCTGTGTACAAGGACAGCGACAGGTGCAGCAGTAAGGTACCCTCGCCAGGACGTGTCGACGTGCTTTGGGCCAGAAGCCCGAACGGCGAAGCTGAAACCAAAGCCCTGGCTCCCCAAACGTCTTGAGCGCCTCACCTGGGACCGTGAAGAGACTCTCCGTTTTTCAGGCCATGGATGAACTCGGAGTCTACTTCGGCGTCTTTGATGGCCACGGGGGCGCGCAGGTCAAGGAACACTTTCCCAAGGGCCCCAGCAAAGACGAATTGGTAGGAAGACCTGTCGAGTGATTCTCAGCTTCTGACATGTCAAGATCCCACCCCCGCACCGCAACAGCCCTGACAGCCCCAAATCAAGTAACCTCAGTCTCCATGGAAAAACTCTTGAAACAGGTCTCTGAGTTGGCAGCCAAGAACCTCCACCGGAACATCTTGTCCTGCTTCCGGCAGAAGGCTGCTCCCAAGAAGCCCGCGATGTTGACGGGTGCACCCTCGATCCCCCCTTTTTTTCCAGGATGCTGGAAGCCAGTCTATTTGGCTCGGTTTAGGTTTGGGGCTTTGAGCGAGGTATGGAAGCCAAGCGATAATTGAGTCGACCCCTGGACTTGCTTTGAGGATCTACCTGTGAAGGATCAACTCAGAGCAGGAAAAAAACCAAGAATGGTTATTGTCGCTGTCGACTTCGGTTCGTAATACACGATTCCGGCTCATGGCGACGCAGCACACCATCTCAAAAACAGAAGTGTTCCTCATGTGCCGTAAGACTCCAAACACAAGGCCGTTCAGCCGGCAAGCCGAGACGAGAAGATCAAGATGGCCGTGCGTGAGGCCTTCGCTACAACGGACCGAGACATCCTCGCGCTTTCAGAGAGGAGCCGCAGCATTGAAGGGTTTAGTTGATTCCCCCCCCGGTTGGCTTCAGCATCTCCGACTCTCCCTAAACCCTTCTTCTTCGTTCCACAGGAAGAAGTTCGACTCCGTGGGCTCCACTGCCGTTTGCGCGCTGCTGCACGGCAACCCAAAGCTGGGAACGGCGCTGCGGCTGGTGCCCGGGGCCCCAACGGCCCCGACCTGCAAAAAAAGAAGAGGGATACGAACCGCATGAGGATGATTCTGGGAACATGCTGAATATGCTTGTAGATGTTGTTCGTCATCGCCACCAAGATTCCTGCTGCATTTCTTGCTCTCTTCGAAGTATGCCGAAGCTGAGTGTGGTTGCTGCGGTGGCCGCACAGAAACTCCGTTTTGATTGCAAAGCGACGCCATGGAACAGAAGTGCAGAAAGCAGAGTTTTACGGAGCGACTGAGCTTTCTGCGTAGTAGGCTGGAGCTTTGGACCTCAACAAAAAAGTCTCATTCGAGCAGAGCCTGACGAGGTGCTTGCTCACATCGGGGATTCTCGAGCGATCCTCTGCAGAGCTGGGCAAGCGGTCCAGATCACCGAGGACCACAAGCCGGACCGGATAGACGAGAAGCCGCTTCTCCCGAAACTGAGGGTGCTGATTACCATTGTCGAAGTTCTGTGAGACACCAAACGCAATTGAAATCCAAGGAAGCGGATAGAGAGGGCAGGGGGCTTGGTTTTGAACGTCCGTGGGGCGTGGCGGATCGCGGCCCCGGCCAACCCGCGTGGGTCTACGAAGTCCTCGCGCCGGGAATACCAGGGCCTCTCCATCACCAGGTGCGGGCAGCTGTTGCTAGATCGGCGGAAAGGTGTCACTTCCTCTCCTGCAGCCTCGAAAGCAGGTCCTTAGGGGACGCTTGCTTCAAGAACCCGGCCTTGTCGGCGGCCGACCCAGAGGCCAGCAGCCAGCTTTCCCAGGGGGGAGTGGGCGGAGTGGGGGCTAGAGTTGAGAAAGTAATGTTGCTATTTGTAGCTTCGAAGATTTGCTGTTATTGGGAGCTGGGGATATTGGCGACGTGTTTTCTTGATGTTCAGACGTCAGAGGGCTGTGATGTCTCTTTTCGCCACGAGGGTGGCGATCTCAACTCAGGCCCAAGCTGCAAAGCCCCGCAGGTCAGGGTCCTGCCGATTTCCGACAAGGACCTGTTCATCGTCCTCGTTACCGAGGGGGCCCCCTGGTTGGGATCTAGTTAGGGAAGCTTTGCACACAGACAAACCATGCAAAAAAGCACAGGGGTGACAAGTTGAAAGACAAGCCAAGCTCCTTGAAAATCCTGGACCTCCTGCCATGCCAGAATCTCCCACCAGGTCACAAGAGTCCTCTCCAACCAAGACGTGATCGACTGTGCCAGCAACTTGGTGGAGAAACTGGAGTGCAGGCTATTCGATTTCGAGCAGTTGAGATCAGAGTTTTTCAGATTTGAGGTGTAGACTTGCAGAATTCTTGAAAGATAGAGGCACGAACACACACCACGCGACACAGAGGCAACGGAAGCCAAACTGTCCCCAATTCCACCATCAAGCTCCAACAAAGCTGCCCGGAGGCAAGCATTGGGCTGACTCGGAAGAAGCGGCAAAGAATATTGTGCGCACGGCGTTTCAGGCCGGCAGCGACGAGAAACTTGGTGATCTAACAGTGGCTTCAGTTTGATGCTCTATGTTCGGTGCTTTGAAGAGTTTGGGCAATCTGGCGCAGAGCTAACCACGGGGGTCGAGGTGCTGTAAGGTTTCCTGAAGTTATTGGACTTGCATCTGTCAAGCTTAGCTCAGTTGAGCGCTCTTTCCAGGCTGACAGTTTACTATAGTCTGTACACAATTCTATTGGACTTGGTGCCTCAAGGTTTATCCAAGTAGCCGTCTGTCTTTTGAAGCGATCGATAATGCCTCGGGGTATGCCTGACCGTCTCGAGACGGCATTCTCTTGCAGAAGGGACTGAAGTCCTGCTGGTTCACCAGCTGATCTTTTCCTGATGACACTGCACTTTCCTGGATCCAAGGAACTTGACCGCTTTGGTCGTTCAATTCGGGTGGGCCGACAAACACACACCGCGGCAACTCTGAGATGTGAGTCGTGTACTGTCATCTCGTCCGAGACGGGGGTGACTAGAGTATTCAGGTCCCTCTTCTTGAGTTGTCGGGATCTCTGACGGTGAATTTCGGAAATGCCCCGCATGCTCTGAGGATCGGACTTTCTTTCCTTCGCGTCTCATCATTCTGGTTTGGTGTTCCCAGAACCAGCCATCGCAGACCCCTCTCCGAGGTATATCGAAAGGAGACGGCAGATGGTGGCGCAAGGTGTTGTCGCTCGATCGCATTTGGCAATGCCTTTGTCCTTGCTTCGGAAGAGCTGCAGCTAACCCCAAGACCAGAAAAGGGCTACACGTCCTGCACAGAGACCCGCTGAGCATCCCAAGAGCCATGCAGGATGGGGGAAGCCCGGTCATGAAGCCGACGGCGGCGCCGAGCAAGGAGGTCTTCTCTGATAAAGCCGTGGAGAAGGATGATTTTGACATGTTTGGCTGAGGACCCGCTTTAGGCTTCGTTTACCGACGAACCTTTTGAAAACTACTGCAGAGTCAAGATCCAGAGATGGTAGGCCGACGAGATCCTTCCGCCTGCCACGCCGCATGAAAACCTGACCCCTGATCACCATAAAGAGACTGCGCTATCCTTTCTAACGTGCAGAGCAAACCAAAGGATGTCTCTTGTTTGCCGCCACTCATGCATGAACCACACGACGCTTCCCACGAGAGGATTCGATGATATTGCTGCTGCAATGCACCTTCAAAGTGAGCCGCTCCCGAAACAAGTCGCTAAAGAACGGCTGATAGCAAAAAGTAGGTCATCAGTACACATGCATTGTGGCAAAAATGGGCACACTGGGCATGTAGCCTCCAAGCTGGCAGGAATGTGCCGACCCATAGAACCCTTATCAGTACAAGCACAAACCAGTCGAGCTAGAGACCACCAGCAAACGACAGGTAGTATGTTGTGTCACAACCTTGCGGGGCCAATGCGAAAGCAAAAGATCCGCATGCTGCTGCAATGGTGGTTTAAAGATTCATGTCCCCTTCCTCATTCAGCACGACCCACCTGCGAAGCCCTTGTCATAGCTTCGAACCTTGGGCAACCAATCTGCAAGTATCCAACGACGGCCGCAAGCACCCGAAGCACAAACGGCAGCCGACACCCCAATGCGTCCCAAACGTAGCGGAAAGATGAGCGAAGCCGAGCCCGAAGCCTTCTAGATGAATTGGCCCCAAGATCGGCTTCCTAAGAAGACAGCTCAACCAATCGTCAGTGAAGCGATGGCTCGCTCTCGGTCCCGGGATCGCGCGAGGTTGCACCGTCGGGCAGGGCTCCAGGTTTGCTTGAAGGCTTCTGCACGCGCCAGCACTCCGAAGCTTGCTTTTCAGACTTTGAGCTTGGGCCTGTGATCACGACGCGATCAGCTCGCCAGCAGCCGACTAAAAGGAGTCATGCTCTTTAGTAAATGTAATACATTGACAGCACATCCCCGCGGGAAAAAGTGGGCTCAATTTCCGTGCCAGGGATGCGCGACGACGCAGGCTCGTTCTTCTCTCCCGGCACCACAGTACTCTTTGGAAGGGGGTGGTGCACATAGGGCAATGTCAGGTTGAACAACTGTTGGTCGCCCCGTTGTTGAGGAGCTCTTCTTCCAGAACAGTCTTTGGCGAGAAGACTACTACGTTACTACGTGTTGTTGGCTTTTGAACTGTCAGGACCCAGACGTTGCGGTTCTTGTTTGGGTGATGCGTTCGTATCCATCCTCCAAACCTCTTGTCACAACCGGCATCTGCATTTCAAGGGCCAGAAGACATTGATCTTGAGCTGTTTCAGTCCAGGGCTTGTGGTGGTTTAAGGACCTCCAAATCCGTTCTTATCAATATCGGGTTTCTCACGTCGTAGGTGGGAATCGTGTCCTCATAAGAGTCATAAGTTATCATAGGCTTTGTGGAATGCATCTCCAACATGCTGACCTCAAGGCGCTCAGGTTGTGGGCCTGAAAGATCTATTACAACTTCGTAGCATGAGACAGCCTGACCAAACAGCTGCGCGAGATGCTATGCTCAGAGGCTCAAGCTCCAGTTCGAAAGTTTGCAGTGTTCACACCTTGCTAGCTGCGCACTTGCACAAGCTAGTGACTGTCGCTGACTGCTGGATAAACATTGACACAGTCCCCAACCTCACTCTGAAAATTCAACTAGAACGGAACGAAGCTTTGAGACCGCGCCGCGAGGTCTTCACCGCAGAAGGCCAAGGCACGGCTTCGGCCAGCTGAACAAAAACATCACTGAGAGACCCGAAGTATGGCTTCACGGCGAACCCTGCCCCCCACTCAACTGCAGGAGGAAACCCAGAAAGACAGAAGCTCTCTTTGAATTCAGCTCCTTGCACTGCCCGGAGCCACACGCTATCGGGCGAAGACTTCATCTTCAGACCATTAGCACATGTAGACATGACTCATATGACTGATGCGTTCCAGAGAGGTGATGGTGACGCCAATGACTTTCGGCAGATTCAGCCACAGCAGCCGTTGTCCTTGCACTGATCTTACGACACCCGCACGACAGGGCAAGCGGAAAGCGAGCGAGAAGGAACAGAAGGAGGCGCAGGCGAAGCGTTTCGAGCAGGAGGCCCGCAAGGGGCGGCCTTTTTTCGGCCAGCTTCTCGAGTCCTTGCTGCCGCTTGCGGCCGGCTGTCGTGAATTTCCTAGTGCAAAGTCTACCAGGCAATTCGCCCCGCGGGATCGATTGCCAGGCTTATGTCGGCCCTTCGAAGAGATCTAGGAAGGCTCTAGCGTTGATTACCGCTTCAGAGCCCCCGAGATTCTGAAGAACCTTGCCACATCATCCCACCCCGCAGGTACAGAGACGCGTGCAGGAGCGAATCCACAACAGGGACTTCGAAGCCACGATTCAGGCAACGCTTCGCGAGTTCAACTCCGCATTTGTATGAGCTTCAGCTGAATCTCTCTTGTAGCATCTGAGCCCCAATGGACAGAACAGGGTAAGGTATTGATGCCTGTGTGGGCCAATTATCATGACCACAGCCGGCAGAACAAAGACTAAGCTCCATCTTAGTTCATCAGCTCCGCTTCTGCATCCATTCATTTATAATATGCCATAACATGCTATAACATTATGCTCCGCATGCATCTAAACGTCCATGCGCCTTTCTCTGTGCAACAGCTTATGCATCCGTTTACCGAAAACGAATTGTCGGTTTGTCTATTCGCTGGTGCGCGGACAGGCACGAAGGCATTCATATGACTTAGGTAACGCAAACAGCACACCGTCCAACACTCTTGGAATTGTAGGGGCGATGAGAGCGCCTTGGTTGTAGACGTTTTTGCTTTCGGAAGGAAAAGATACGAGGCGAGCTAGATCGGCATTTCAGCCCGGTGCTCGGAGCCCGTTCGAGTGCGACGATTCAGCATGTCGAAGACCGGATGTGAGGTCTTGTAAAGATCGAGATTGACATGCAGAAGAAGAAGCTGACCGTCCGGCATGGGCTTACTTTGTCGTGGGCTGGCCGAGAGCTCCCCTAAGGGCTTAGACTCCGAGGCGCAGCAAGACAGAATCCGCCACGTGACATGACATCTCATTGTTCGACCCCACGCACACAAAGCAAAAATCTGGAAGCGGAAAAGCCCAGCTGTCGAAGCCCGCGGTACTTTCAGTCATTGAAATCAGAGTCCCGGCTAGTGGTGGTGGTTGCGCAGCGGGGCCAACTGGCGTGGCAGGATCGAGGAGTTCAGACACGAACGAGATCAAGAGGAGAGGTCGAAGCAGGACAGCTCTGATCGGCACTGCGCCATGGTCAACCTGTTGATTCTCCGATTCTTTGTGTTTTTTGCCACTGACTCTTGTTAGTTCTGTTTGCAAATCCTTTCGTGTCGCATTTTCACAAGGACACTGAACCTTCGGCGTTCACAGTAAATGCATCTTGCGCCGCAGGAGCTTGAGGCCATCATCCGGACCAACCAACAGCGAACGCAGGACTTGAAAGGCTAGAGGTTCGCACAGATGGGTGAAGGCAAGGCACAGATACAGGCATGAAGATCACGAGGCTCAACGATAATCGGTATTTGTCCACATCCGAGCCCTTCGTCCCATGCCGAAGATTACATACAGCCATGGTGCCTGAAGATTCTGGCAGGAGCAGCAACAGCGAGTTGCTGCGGCAATGGGGTCCCAGGCATTCGGGCCAAGAGAGGAACAGATAGACAGTTTGATGATGGAATGTTCAGGCTTGAGCATGAAAATCCGACATCCGCAGCCGGATAGAACTAGCTAGCAGATGCAGCCTCAGCGTCATGTGTCGAGCAAACTATAACTATGAGACATTCTGGCACTGAGGGTCACTCCAAAACTCAACCCATCGAAAAACTTGCAGGCCGAGTCGCTTCTCCATGAGCGTGGCCTCATCCAGAAGAGAGAGGATTGAAGGGTTCAGATTTCTTGATGACTAGAAACGGGGCCGTTCAGCAAAAATACAACCCGGAACATGCTGTCGTCCATCGGAAGCGCCATTGTAGCCTTTGCATCAGGTTCTCTTGCATGCACACACACACACACACATGGTGGACAACCCTGCCTGCCGCGAGGAGCAGCATCGTAAAGTGCAGAAGGGTCTGGAGTCTGTGGGTGGCGGTGGCTGCTTGGCTACGGTGGAGATTGTGTTGCTTAAAGACGTCCAAATGCAGAATTTCAATACGCATTGTAGGTATAGCTTATGTATAGGTGGGTGACAAAAAATAGGGGGGGTCGTGGTCACGCGCGAGATTAATCCCTCCTCCCTGGCAAAACAGGGATTTGAATCCTTGTGGCCAACGACAGACGGAGCCCATGCCACCCACTCTAACTGCAAGCCCAATCCAGAAACCGAAAGAGCGTTTCAAGGCTCAACGCAGGGCAAAACCCAGACAGCTCAAGCAGCATTCAACAGAACTCTACACCTGGCGATTATCTGACAGCGGCAACTAATGAATTGAACATGGAAGATTGGAAGATGTGTTGCTCTTGCCAGCTCAGGCCTTACCTAGATGTGGGCTTCTGGGACCCTCGCGCATCGATTCGATGGCACACCGAGAAAATGCTTTGGGTTGCGGGAGACCCGAAACTGAGTACCCTAAATCCGTGCTGTTTGCCGTGTACCAGGATCCTCGCCCAGGCATGTCCGAGTGTGAGTGCTGAAATCCGAAACTTGAATGATGCACTCTCCGGATGGTGTAAGGTTTCGGAAATTAGAGGTGCAGCTTCTGCGCGAAATGACACCTGAGAGAGGTTGCTGCAGCTGGCCGTCCGTGTTGCATTCGGGCTCAGAGCAGTTGCAGCAACACGGGTTGATGGCGGCTACAGAAAAAACCACAGCCTTACACCCAACGTCTCACAAAGCCAACTCCAGTCGCTAGCCAGAGCACCAAATTAAAACTCCCCAGCTCCAAAGTCATGCAACGCAGTGCAGGTGCTGGAATCTTTTGGGTACAAGTGTCTCACTCCTCGTTGTTCTGTAACAGAGTTGCTTTGAGTCCATGTGTCGATCCGGAAAGAAGCCCGCGAATTTAGTCCGCCCCGCCCGGGAGCAGCCCGTAACCCCTGAACCCAAAAATCCCTTTCAGCCTTCTCTGAGAGGGACCCAGAAAGTTTTGCGCCATGGCCTCCGGTCCCTGCGGCGGGGTCGCCGTTGCTGCCGCACGTGGAGGTCCGGAAGTTCCCGAGGTTGTGACGGAAATGCGCAGCAGGTCAATGTTTTGGAGTTTTGGATACTTGAATGCATGAATGCTCTTTCCCGTCACATGCATCGGCCTCAGTACGGGTAAAAAGAAAGCAGATGGTTGAATGCAGGTTCTGGACATTTGAGACCACGGTGTAGGCTTGAAGATGCAGCGCTTACTTTCTTACTCTCCGCAGGGTCACCGTTTTTTTAGACTTGAAAGTAGAGATCATGCACCTCGCAACTTCCGGGGCCATGGCTGTGTTCCTGCAGTGGGCACGACACGCTTCAGTCGCAAGCCGAATCCCACTCTAAGCTGCACATAAACAAGGCTCCGAAATTCTATGGTTCGGCCTGAGCCTCGAACCAACCGCTTTGCAAGGCAAGGGCCCAGGGCAAAGGCGGATGCTCCTCAAGGGCTTGCGCTTAGGCCGGTGTCCCATGACTAGTTTCGAGCGCTGGGGTAAGACTTCTCCCCTCCGTCAGAGAAGATCGCAGAACCAGGCGCGCACGTGTCCATCCGCTATCGGGAAAAGAAAGGCCCCGGCGTCTTTGAGGAGCCGCAGGGAGACGCCTCCAAAATCCAAAGCTTCGGGCGATCTGGGCTCTACCGTCCCCACGCTGTGAAGACAGAGCACAAGTGTTGAAGCTTCTTGATCCGAATGCTTGTGAAAGGCTGGTTTCCCGCATGGACATGAACACCTACCCCCGCAAACCACGATCCCCATTCCTTCTCTTGCACAAGCCCTCGGCGGCAGGAGCGTTTAGACTTTGAAGGGACCATTGCCGACAAGCGTGTGGGCTGGGACAACCGAGAGTCTTACGTGGAGCTGAAGGCCAGGACTCTTGATGTCGTGACTCCTGCGATCCCCTACTTTTTCCGAGACTCCAAGATAGTTCCCACATGCAGCCGAGACAACCACTAGCTAGCCAGAGCACACGATTAGCACAGAAAGCCGCCGATACCTTACAGTATTATGCGGCTTTTTAGGATGCCGAGGCACACCGAATTCCGTTACAAGCAGTTTCTCACGCAGACTGCTGGTATCGTACAGACATCTGATTGATGCTTGCAGAGGAGTGCTTCAGACTGAACCGAGATGGCGAGATCATCGAGTGCAGCTGTCGAGTTGTCGGGCTTGAATGTACACCGCCTTGCCCTTAACCGACGGTATTCGAGACGCGTTGCTGCGCGGCAAGCCGTGCAAATAGTCATACCCGAAGGGTGAAGACATTTCCTTGGCCAGGATGGTTGGGAAGAAGCAGCTTTACGATGCCTTCATCGAAGAGGTGGAGGTGGCTGATGCCTCAGTTGATCGCTCATGCCCCAGGGTGTGATTCTGCATTCATATGGAGCAGACGTGTCGACAGGAAGCGCAGTGATAACCCGAACGGTTCACTTTGTGGCAGCATTCGACCGCATCGCCTTAAACCCGTGCTTGCTGTGCAACTACTGCACCTTTTCATGGATCGAGCGGTACAGCCGCGAGCTTCTTCGGAATCTTGAGCGTCCAAGAGCCTCGCATCTGGAATCCTGAGGTCGAGAAGACTGAGCGCCGGCTCTCTGCAGAGCTTCGGGCAGCACAGCAGGCCAAGGCCAAGGCCAAGAAGGCTTTGGTGGGGAGCCCAGTAGAAACGGAATGTTGACGGGTAAGGCAAGGCGAAACATCGGGCCACGAGGGCTTAAGCCTCAGCAAACTTCAAACTTCCAGCATCATGGAATGCAGGTGCCGAGAACGCATGTTCGTTTCAGACTCGGGCGGTTGTAGCAACATACCGTACCGGTCAGATTCATAGGCCACCTAAGTCTTAAGTACCCCTAGGATAGGCATGTGTCACTCAGAGTCGTATTCAGGCTTGCCGGAAATGCCAGCAAAAAGAAGATTGGCACGGCATAAGTAATCATGACCACAGCAGCAAGCCGTGGCTAGGGGGCACCTGGCGCCGTACCGGAAGCACAGGCAAAGGGCGAGGAGCGGCTGGTAATGTTGGAGTTCCAGGTTAGAATTCGGGTCACCGGGGCGACATTCAGATGTCGGAAGTTTTGAGACTATTTTTAAAAGGGTTGAACGACACGGTCTCAACACGAACGAGGCTCATCCATTCCAGGGGGTGTCAGCTAAGGGGAGTTCAGTTTGCTGTCGACAAACTTGTTTCTTGCGGCAGCTTCCTCCGTCAAGGCAAGCAACTTAAAGCTCAGAGGTTGCATCATGGCAATTACCGGGCACGGTCGGCTCTGCACCACCTGTTCATCATTTTTGTGAGGACAGCGACAGCGACGATGGGCCGATTCCGGGCATGCTCCCGGGCATGAAACTCGCGTTGCAAGAAAGCCGACGTAGTACAGGTCTGGTGAAAGCTGAACAACGGTGACTGCGTTGAACGAATCGCTGAGACAAACTCTTGCAAGCTTGCAGAAAAGGTCGACAGCAGTTTCCAGTTTACGGTAACCATGGAGATGCCTGTGGTAGGGAATTAAATTCAAGAGCCGTCTGATTGCTTCCAGCAACTTCACCAGAGATCGGCAGCCAAAGCTCGTGCAAACTCTGAACCTTGAGAAGGACGTCCTTGAAGCCTTTGTAGCTCCTGAAGTACCGCCCTGAAAATCTTCTTGATTTTGAAACCAAGGCCTGAGGTTGAAGCTGGATTCTAGCTTGGGGCCCAACACTTCTGAAGCTCCGCATGCACAGACGCACCCAAGCCTCCATTGCTCTCACGATTCCCTGCGGACCCAACCCGCCTCGACTTGATGGAAATGAAATCCCAGGATGTTTGGCATGGGGCCGATGGGAATGGGGATGATGCCACTCAGCTGCAGATAGCTTTGCTTGATCGTGCTTGGGAAGTGCTGAGGTTGTAAGACTGCAATGGAATCCTGTCCACCAGTTGCGTGTGCATGCGCACATATGGCAGAAAGGTGTGTGTTATTTGCTATTAGACGGGGAGGGGGAGTAGACTCCTTCAGCTGTTGCCTTTGGGGAGAATCGCCGAGACCTGGCCGGTCCATCGAAGCCTCTGAGATAGTGTTCCCGATCAGAGCTTGCAAGCTTCCACTCGAAGCAGACTCGTTCTACCTGCCTGCAAGATTCAGCGGCTACCAAAAGAGCCCCAAACTGCAGGCCGATGGGCATGCCCATGGGAATCGGAATGTGTTTCATGCCGCCCATGGCCATGGCAGCTTGGCTGTGGGAGCTTCGTCGTTTAGGATTTGCGCGGCTGAGAATACTGGTCCGCATGTCCAGGGAGGAATCTTTGAGGCACACCTCTTTGCGGTGCGCCAAGCTGAGCAATTCTCTTCCGTCCTTCGTGACTTGACCACAAGGCGATGCCCGCGGCGATGCCCGGCTTGGCGATGATGCCAGGAGCCATGAGCTGTCCGGCCGTCCCTGCGGCCTGCGTGCCAGGAGCCAGCGGGTGCCCTCCACTTCAGCTAAAAAGAGCCCTTAGCCGCCTTAGCCAGGAGCCGGAGGAGCCGGAGCGCCGCCGAAAGAGCGGAGCCGAAGCGCAGCCCCCAATGGCAGCAGACTTCGGGCAGGGAGCGTTTTGTTGCTCTTGGCAAGAGTTGAGGGCTGAGAGTTAGGCTGTGTGACGGATTGCTGAGCTTCTGTTTCAGCGTGAGACTCATTGCAGGGCAGGGGCCCTGAACTCTGAACACTCCCTTTCTGTCGAGGCCGAAGTCGCGGTGCCTAGGGCCCAGGGGCCCAGGGCCGGGCCGAGCCGTTTCACCTCGGAGTTGGCAAAAAGCACGTTGTGTCTTTACATCTGAGGGCTGGGAAGCTTGCAGCTTTCAGAAGCTTCGGGAGACGGTTGGGATGTTGCAGGGGGTTCAGCAGAACTTGAGGTCCTGGACTTGGACTGTAGACTTTACATGCAAAACTCTGAAGAAGAAGGCCTCGGAAGTTCCTCTTCCTGATTTTGCAGGTTCCCAAGCCTCAGCATAGTTCTCACTTCGTCTTCAGTCATAAGTCAGGGCGGGAATTCAAACACTGCCGCGCCCGGGACCTTCAGAGGATAAGTCTGTTGTCGTATGAGTCGTGTGACGAAGCCGGGTCGAGCTTAAAAACCCGGCCATCGCTGGACGGGCCAAGTCAGCTGAAAAGCCGCGGCCGCCAGTTAGGCCCCATCGCATTTTCAGGCGGGAAGCGACAAGAACTAAAGCCGGATAGGGACATGCTTAGCAGTCGAAAAGTGTTGTTCTTTGGTATTCAGCTTCAAGTTTGCCGCAGCGACCTTCTGGGCTCAGCTTCGGAGGACATCTTCCGGACGAGGTACCGCTCTTGTTCTTAGGGAGGGTTGAGAATGGGAGGTTGTGTTGCATCTTTTGAAAGGGGGTGGGATGCACAAACTCAGAATCGGGAGGTTTGCGTTTTCTCCAAGGAGTATAAAGGTCCGGCTTTGCTCACGAAGCAAGAAATTGCAGCATGTTTTGATTTGGCGGCCTTGTTTGGCAAACTAGGATCCGCCAATGCCATGCTGCAGGTGCGACATGGCTACCTACAGCCCGTACCCAGGACGTCGGGAGTTTTTCGAAGTGCATGCGATGGCCTAGGCCTAGGATGCCTAGGCCGATAGGGTTGCCTCCCGAGCCTTTGAAGTGCAGGCAATTCCAAGAGGCTCCGCTGAAGACCGCTCTTGCAGGAGCATACCCGGGCCGGCGGAACCCTGTGGCTTGGACCTATCTCTGTGCCTAATCGGATTGATTTCGTTCCGGCCGTGGCTGAGTAGCATAGCTGGATGTCCGAAATGCGTTGCATCGTTTGCCCGAGCAGCTACTTTGAGGCAAGCAAGGCCCCCCAGGGGTGGTCGGCCGCGATGCAAAGCCGAAGATACGAGGCCTTGGACAGATACGTACGTGTCAGCTTCTGTGCGGGTATCCGAAAACAGTTCTTGCTGGTGACACTCGACCGACCACGAATGATGTGCGTAGGGCCTGGGGGCTTTAGGGGCTTAGGGGTTTCGAACACAGATGCCACATGTCAGGAGGAGGCTTTGGCTCCGGTTGACATCAAACGAGAGGCCCAGCCTGCGACATCGCGATGGGGTTGTTCTTTCAGCCTTGTGGCTTTCTAGCTTGCGTTCGTCGCAGAGGCAGCGGCGGGTAGGAGCCAAGTGCTGCGCTGACCCGATAGCAACGGCCCTCATGGCGATCCACCGTGAGAAGGCTGCTATGCCCAAACAATCGCAAAACCTGGAAGCTGCGTGAGCGGACGTTAGGGGCAAGGAAGGCTGCGGGTGTTGAAGTTTTATGCCTGGCCCTGGATAACGCACGTCCTTCTTTAGAAGACGGAAGGTTTGCAGCAGCACAACGCAGAATCAATGCAGAGTGTTAAGTGGGAGGCCAATCGCAAAATATCTTGGATGGCAGGCAGTGGCCGATCGTGCAAGTTCCGACAGCGCCGGAGGCGGTGGTGGCGGCGGTGGCGGAGGCTCCGGCTTTGCGGCCCAAGATGAAACATCGAGCAACTGCTCGAAGCAGATGAGCTGCATGTTTCCGATCCGAAGCTTCCAGTTCACTCTGGGCCTTGCTTTCGAATTCTTGGAGTCCATGTAGCGGGTACATGCATGACTCATTTCCAGCCGCGCCTCATGAACAGGTGCCAAACTCCCGTTCATGATCCAGAACCTGCCCCTGAGCAGCCAGTAAAGTCTTTAAGCCTTTAAATTGCAGAGGTTTCAGGTCTACGTTTAAGGGGATGCCCTGAACAACCGGGAACATGGAGTCTTTCGGGAGAGGAGGCTCGAGTTGCTTTTCGTTGGTCTCATGCTTGTCAACGGAGCTGGAACGCGTGAGGTTGCCGGCAAGTAGCGCCGTAAGTTCTTCACAGATTTCACGGTAGCATGCCTTCGGCCTCGGTTTGTACACGCCATAGTGGACTGTTTGCAGGGAAGGAAGCTCGTAGTCCTTCTGAGGTACCTTAGTCCAGGAAAAGTTGGACCGGGGGCAGCCTATACCATGACAAGGCTGCAGCCACAGGACGCCGACACCTAGGTGAAGCAACTGCCCCCAGAGGCTCTGCAGAGAAGGGTCAGGTGTTAGGTCATTGCTCCTGCGCAGGATGTTGAGAAGCCGTCCTGGGCCAAGTGAGATGGATAGGACCCAGAAAACCTTTCAGACGTGGACATGTCATAATTCGTCATTGTCATAGCCTCTTCCAGCAGCCCATCTCGGGCTTGAGAGCCTGTCCTTCGGACTTGCGTTCGGACCAGACTTGCGAAGATCTTGGGACGCGAGAACGAACGAAAAGTGGCAGCAACCCACGACAGGATTCCGTTTGTGCTGCGCTGCACGCCTCACCACGAAACGCAAGCGTCATGCTGACATCTTCAGGCTTCCACGCCCTTCATGCTTTCTTCAGCACAGAGGACCGACAGAATTGATCCATCCCGATTAAACAGCTGCGAAGATGGCTCGAATGTGCACAGATAAGCTGCTGAAACACTGTCTGCCATGCGTACATTGCCATGTCCTGTTTCCTGTCCACTCGCCCGACACTCAGGTTCGGAGCTTTGTTGAGCGTGGTTCAACCAAGCTTGGCAGTTATGCTAGACTGTGAACTTGCGCAAAGCCATTCCAGAGCCCCAAAACTCAGTCAACCTAAAGCGAGGATCCCAAATCCCAACAGCCCAAGCATCGGCGCCATGACGCGCGCCCCTGCCATGGTTTTCGGAGGCCTGGAAGGTTTCACCGGTTCAGGGATGGGAGAAGCAGGGATATCGAAGCCACCGCACGGAGATTTTCGTTCGTCATCATAGTCGGCATCAGCGTCTTGAACATTATGCCTTGCTTTCATCTACGCAGTTCTGTTTTGCATTGGGCACAATCGCAAAACGTGTTATGTCGTCCGATTGTGAGAGCGTAAACGGCGCAAACCTGCACAGAGAACAGACTACTCCGACTCGAAGGGCTTTCAAGGCCCGGAGGTTGACATCGCTGTCACTCAGAGTTGCCGGGAGTTTCGATGTCTGCTTGGATCTTCTTTTCACGGAGGCCCCGCTCCTTTCCGCAAGCTCAAACGTGTCAGTGCAGGTCGAGGGCATACAAATGTCGGGCGCTGTTCAGGCAGCCTAGGCCTAGGCTTACGGAAACGCCCGCGGAAAAGGCCACAGAATTCGAGAGCACCCACGGCGGAGGCCCTGGCCTCGCCCTTTCTGCTCTGGCGGACGAGGAGGCCCACGGGCCCTGAACCTGCCGCACACGTCGGATTTCTGGGGCTTCCTTCCGGGCCGGCACCCAACCGCCTTCGCGGCATCACTGTAGCGAGTCGGCACTTTTGCCGGTAAATCTCAGAGGCCTCCGACGCTGTGTCGCTCTCCCCGCCCGGCACTTCGGTACAATCCAGCCTCTGGAGCCCTTTCAGTATGCCCCGGGCTGAGCTTCACAAAGCAGGAGCTTTAGGCTGCAGATGAGCATCTCGCACATTTCTTAGAGCAAGCAGAAGCAGAGAAACAGGCAGCAGGCAACCCGTGTGTTCAAGACGAGGATTTCCAAGCCAGTCCCGTCGCCGGACGCGCCGAGCTCGGCGGCTGTTGCAGAGGCGCACGAAGCTGCAAAGCTCCTTGCGGTCTGAGGCCTCGAGACCGCTAGACTCCAGACTAAGAAGAAGGCCCCGTCGCAGCTCTGCAAACTCTGCAAAGCCCCCTGACCGCAGTGCCGAAACGAAGACGGCAAGAGGCCCGGAGCTGAGCTGCGTCTTCTGGATTCGGTGCTTCTGCTTTTTGTGGATACAGAAGCCCCGAATTTTCTGGAACTCAGCGGCTCCTCTGCAGCTTGCCCGTTCTCTGCGATGGCTGGATAAGCACATGGGTGAAGCGAGGCCTGCTAAGAGTAAGCTGCTTAGCTAAAATCAAGATCAAAGTGCAAAATGCGGAAGAAAAATTGCTGAGCCTTCGTTTGAAGTGCCGTGGCTTTCCAGTATTTGCGGGCGCTCATATCCTTTGCTCCTCCTTGGGGACCGTTTGGTGGTTTCAGACCTCCTCGGCCTGATTCTTTTTGAGTAGGTTCTTGAGGCAGTGACACCTTCACGTTCACAGCCCGAATAATCTAGGCGTTGTCCTTCTCAGGCTTGGCGGCTTAGTGGAGGCTTTCCTGACGGACCCAGGGATCAACACTGAATGGGCTTCGGGATTGGCTATCCGGGAAAGGTTGGGTCTGAAGCAGGAGTTTGCACGCGCACTCACTGACGAGTTGAGGCTCGAGTTCTGTGTCCCCGTCCGCAACATAGCCACAGGAGCTACAGCAGCGGCGCTCGCAGCAGAACGGCCGGGTGGAGGAGAACTGGCTGAAGGCCGCCTGACTGGCTCATGCCGAGCTGCCGAGCCCTATCTTTTTGAGAGCGCCCATCGAGTCGCGTTTCAGGCGGCAGGAAGGCAAGGCGAAGCGCAGCTGAAAGAAGTCCTGGACAGCACCTCGGCTCTCCTCGGCTCTACAGGGCTCTGCTCAAAAGACCGCCGCGGGGAACGGGGGGGAACGTTCCGACGACTCTTCTCGAGGTGCGTTCCGCGACTTTCGGGCGAGCCTCGACGCCGACAATGCTCAGAGCGGCAGCTGAAGACTGGCGACTTTCATATCACAAATGACCCCTCCCTAAACTGGGAGAGCTCCAACCTAGGATCGAAACTCCTGAGACACCAGCTGCCATAGACACTTGGGAGAAAAGGCTCGCGATGGGGTGTTGGGCGTGCAGAAGAAAGTCAGCCGAACACATCGTTGCCCTTGACATGATATCCACCATGTTTCTGCATGCAAAAGCCGCTTCCAGCACTTTACATTCATCCTGGCTCAAGATCCCTTCGGCGAGTTTGCGGCTTAAATACATTTAGCGCTTCGGATGTTGCGTTGAGGAGGTAGGTGCAAGAAGCACTCCAGACTATGCCCCAGGCACGGCACCGGCTCGTCATCCAGAGCGGAGTCGGCCTGAAGCAGAAAAATGTGGCATTGGACACCTACATAGGAAGATGGAGATGCACCGATGCAGCCTACAAACAGAGACGTTACAAAGCTTAGCACAGAGTACAGTAACTGCTTGCCCAACGCTGGCGGCAGCTCCGGCATGTCCCTTGGCGAAAGGCAAAACTCGAGAGTTCTGAAGCGTTCTCTCTTGTTCTAGGCGCAAACCGAAGTTCCGAACGCTGAGGCTGGATGGTGCAAGCAAGGAGGGCGGCGAAGAGGCCCCAAGCGGCCACACTTTGAATCGAATTTGTTTTTGTTCCGTCCAGATAGGCTTTGAAGCTTAAGCTTCAACCGAACTCACTTGCCTCCCCTCCCAGGTGGAGGAGACAGTGTCGTGCGCCCTGCTGAGTTCGGTGTCTTCGAAGCTCAGAGCACTGTACGTTTTGCGCGGCTTGATGCCACATCGCAACACTTGCAGCACTCGGTACCGCCCCCTCACATACTCATGCCAACATGGTACAGATCACAAGGCCTTGGCAGGCCAACGGCCAAGTCTAGTTTCGGTCAAGTTTCAGAGGCTCTGGTTGGAGTTCAGGAGCTCAGCGGTGGTGTTGCATTGCTCAGAAGGAGAAATCGGAAACCCCATACTTTTGGTCTTGACTCAGACTTCGATTTCGATTCCTTCGGCACTGTGTGGCAGGGTGGTGACCAGCTTCAGCTTCACCGTGCCGGACGGGGTGGCCAGCCGCAAGAACGACTTTAAGAGCAATGTCGGGGTTGCAGCTTGAAAACATAAGCATGCCAAGCATTTGCTGCCTCGCATCTTGCTGCAAAATCCCATTGGATTTGGACTGTGTTACTGTTGTTGAAGTTTGGACCTCTCTTGTTGTCAGCTCTATTGTCACTTTACTTCGGATTGGTTCCACTAGCTGGCCTGCTTCGTGGTGCTTCGAAGACTGCACGGAACTCAGGTAGAGCCAGGTGTCACTCTCAAGGCACTTCCGAAGCGGCAGTGTGCGATTTTCGGGCCTGTGTACTGCCCCTTCAAGTTCTGGCTTCGGGCGCAGGATAGTTAGGGCCACCGGTGCAAAACCTGCAGAGTTCTGCCGGCAAGCATGAAGCTTCTCACTTCTCGGTCCGAGCTGCGTGCCTTTGACTTGTCCTGGCTCAAGGCAAAGAGGCTCAAAGAGGACTCAAAAAAGCTCCTCCAAGCTTCGGCATCCAGCTTTCTTCGATGGCCTTTCTTCGTGCATCGCTGATTGCGTTCCTGCTTGCCGTCGCAAGTGCAGAGGGAACCAACGGGACAGCCACAGAGACATCCAAGACAGAGCTGCCCGTGAACGCAACGAATGCAAAAGCGGTCGACCCTGTCGCACCAATTGCAGACAAGAGCGAGACTACAGCTGGACTGAAGGTCAAGCGCGGAGGCCAAGCGCAGGGCCCCGATGTTGTCCGGATCTTGCACATCAGCGACACGCATAGCCTCCATCGAAGCACAGGCAACATGCCGGATGCCGACATTCTGATTCATTCGGGGGATGTGGCCAAGGTCGGTTCCGAGAGCGAGTTGGGTGATTTCAACGACTGGCTTGGCAGCCTTAAAGGAAAGTACAAGCACATCCTCGTCATTTCTGGAAACCACGACTTCTGGGACACGAATTGGAGGTTGAACCGCGGACATATCTCCAACGAGGTCGCCCAGGATCCAGCCTATTTCCAGCACAGGATCACGAATGCACGAGTCCTTAATCACGATCTCGCCGAGGTCATGGGCCTGAAGATCTGGGGCGCCGGCTGGCATCCTCGGAGAGGAGATTCCCGGTCCGGAAACGACTATGCAGACATCCCCGAAGGTGTTGACATCGTCGTTACACACGAGGCCCCGTTTGGAATCTTCGACATGACTGGAGGTGGCCACTGGGGCTCCAGCACGGCGCTGCTCGACGCCATCTACCGCACCAAGCCCAAGGTGCACCTCTTCGGACACATCCATGAGCAGCGAGGCCATTGGAACAAGGCGGGAAGCCAGTACCAAGGTGGCGTGGAGTACAGGCCTAGTCCGTATTCTGGACAGGTCTTCCGCCCCAACGGCCCTCCTTCGCAACACTACCCGGTGGAGGTAGAGTCCAACAACGCCATGGCCAATCAGCCATCCGTGGATCACAGCTGGACCGGCGTTTGGGCGCCTCAGCACATCGTGGGCCGCCCTCGGGCCATCATTGCCAGAAGGCAGCCTGATGGATGGCACTTTGCATCTGAGGCATGAAGTGCCCTTGGAACCTGGGAGATTGTTTGTCAATTCGAAAATAAAAAGCAACTCTTTGCAATGCACGTAAAATGAGCCGGTCGAGTCCAACAGTGAACTCAACTGCTCACACAGTTCCCAACAAAGAGGCCCTGTCTCTGGGTATGAGGAAGTCCCCAGAGGAGGGCCTCGAACAGTGGAGCCAGCAACAGAGGTCGGGAAGTGCCCACGCGCCACACCCGGCAAAGTTTACTAGAGCGCTCTTCTGAAATCCTAACCTGCGTTTTGGGTTGTTCCGCTTTTGCGGCACCGATCTCACTGGTTGCTCTAATGCGTGGCAGGGCGGCAGCAGTGGGACGCAACCTTGAAGCCGCTATGGGCAGAATCAGAGGCAAGCAGTCAGAAGCAGGATAAGGCGCATCCTCTTGCAGCAGCCTTGATAGAAATTCGTCGGCAGGGACAAGGGTCCACTTCACCTGCGATGCTGTCCTTGTGGCAGGCAGTCGACTCATCCTTGCAACCTGTTTTAGGCTTTTTGGGCAGTGCTGGAGATCCGGACACGCGCCCGAATCCTCAACAAATGCAGCTGATGACACATGGTCATGCCCAGATCTCCAGGAATTCTGTTGTGATGTGCGCCCGCCGCTATCCAACAGTGCACTGCTGAATGGAGCACTCTTCTATTGGTGCGGGGCTTTCCGCGGACATAGCGGCATTCCCAGCACCAGGCTCATGCATGCCTAGACTCCTAGACGCAGCAGGGTTTGTGCTCGGCAATAGACCCCCTTCAGTCCTTTCGAGATTTCTGAGACCAAGTGACCAAGTTCTCTTGCCTCTTGAAAGCTGGGACCACGTGCTTTTGACTTGTCCTGGCTCAAGGCAAAGAGGCTCAAAGAGGACTCGAAAAAGCTCCTCCAAGCTTCGGCATCCAGCTTTCTTCGATGGCCTTTCTTCGTGCATCGCTGATTGCGTTCCTGCTTGCCGTCGCAAGTGCAGAGGGAACCAACGGGACAGCCACAGAGACATCCAAGACAGAGCTGCCCGTGAACGCAACGAATGCAAAAGCGGTCGACCCTGTCGCACCAATTGCAGACAAGAGCGAGACTACAGCTGGACTGAAGGTCAAGCGCGGAGGCCAAGCGCAGGGCCCCGATGTTGTCCGGATCTTGCACATCAGCGACACGCATAGCCTCCATCGAAGCACAGGCAACATGCCGGATGCCGACATTCTGATTCATTCGGGGGATGTGGCCAAGGTCGGTTCCGAGAGCGAGTTGGGTGATTTCAACGACTGGCTTGGCAGCCTTAAAGGAAAGTACAAGCACATCCTCGTCATTTCTGGAAACCACGACTTCTGGGACACGAATTGGAGGTTGAACCGCGGACATATCTCCAGCGAGGTCGCCCAGGATCCAGCCTATTTCCAGCACAGGATCACGAATGCACGAGTCCTTAATCACGATCTCGCCGAGGTCATGGGCCTGAAGATCTGGGGCGCCGGCTGGCATCCTCGGAGAGGAGATTCCCGGTCCGGAAACGACTATGCAGACATCCCCGAAGGTGTTGACATCGTCGTTACACACGAGGCCCCGTTTGGAATCTTCGACATGACTGGAGGTGGCCACTGGGGCTCCAGCACGGCGCTGCTCGACGCCATCTACCGCACCAAGCCCAAGGTGCACCTCTTCGGACACATCCATGAGCAGCGAGGCCATTGGAACAAGGCGGGAAGCCAGTACCAAGGTGGCGTGGAGTACAGGCCTAGTCCGTATTCTGGACAGGTCTTCCGCCCCAACGGCCCTCCTCCGCAACACTACCCGGTGGAGGTAGAGTCCAACAACGCCATGGCCAATCAGCCATCCGTGGATCACAGCTGGACCGGCGTTTGGGCGCCTCAGCACATCGTGGGCCGCCCTCGGGCCATCATTGCCAGAAGGCAGCCTGATGGATGGCACTTTGCATCTGAGGCATGAAGTGCCCTTGGAACCTGGGAGATTGTTTGTCAATTCGAAAATAAAAAGCCACTCTTTGCAATGCACGTAAAGTGAGCCGGTCGAGTCCAACAGTGAACTCAACTGCTCACACAGTTCCCAACAAAGAGGCCCTGTCTCTGGGTATGAGGAAGTCCCCAGAGGAGGGCCTCGAACAGTGGAGCCAGCAACAGAGGTCGGGAAGTGCCCACGCGCCACACCCGACAAAGTTTACTGGAGCGCTCTTCTGAAATCCTAACCTGCGTTTTGGGTTGTTCCGCTTTTGCGGCACCGATCTCATTGGTTGCTCTAATGCGTGGCAGGGCGGCAGCAGTGGGACGCAACCTTGAAGCCGCTATGGGCAGTCGCGAATCAGAAGCAAGCAGTCAGAAGCAGGATAAGGCGCATCCTCTTGCAGCAGCCTTGATAGAAATTCGTCGGCAGGGACAAGGGTCCACTTCACCTGCGATGCTGTCCTTGTGGCAGGCAGTCGACTCATCCTTGCAACCTGTTTTGGGCTTTTTGGGCAGTGCTGGAGATCCGGACACGCGCCCGAATCCTCAACAAATGCAGCTGATGACACATGGTCATGCCCAGATCTCCAGGAATTCTGTTGTGATGTGCGCCCGCCGCTATCCAACAGTGCACTGCTGAATGGAGCACTCTTCTATTGGTGCGGGGCTTTCCGCGGACATAGCGGCATTCCCAGCACCAGGCTCATGCATGCCTAGACTCCTAGACGCAGCAGGGTTTGTGCTCGGCAATAGACCCCCTTCAGTCCTTTCGAGATTTCTGAGACCAAGTGACCAAGTTCTCTTGCCTCTTGAAAGCTGGGACCACGTGCTTTTGACTTGTCCTGGCTCAAGGCAAAGAGGCTCAAAGAGGACTCGAAAAAGCTCCTCCAAGCTTCGGCATCCAGCTTTCTTCGATGGCCTTTCTTCGTGCATCGCTGATTGCGTTCCTGCTTGCCGTCGCAAGTGCAGAGGGAACCAACGGGACAGCCACAGAGACATCCAAGACAGAGCTGCCCGTGAACGCAACGAATGCAAAAGCGGTCGACCCTGTCGCACCAATTGCAGACAAGAGCGAGACTACAGCTGGACTGAAGGTCAAGCGCGGAGGCCAAGTGCAGGGCCCCGATGTTGTCCGGATCTTGCACATCAGCGACACGCATAGCCTCCATCGAAGCACAGGCAACATGCCGGATGCCGACATTCTGATTCATTCGGGGGATGTGGCCAAGGTCGGTTCCGAGAGCGAGTTGGGTGATTTCAACGACTGGCTTGGCAGCCTTAAAGGAAAGTACAAGCACATCCTCGTCATTTCTGGAAACCACGACTTCTGGGACACGAATTGGAGGTTGAACCGCGGACATATCTCCAACGAGGTCGCCCAGGATCCAGCCTATTTCCAGCACAGGATCACGAATGCACGAGTCCTTAATCACGATCTCGCCGAGGTCATGGGCCTGAAGATCTGGGGCGCCGGCTGGCATCCTCGGAGAGGAGATTCCCGGTCCGGAAACGACTATGCAGACATCCCCGAAGGTGTTGACATCGTCGTTACACACGAGGCCCCGTTTGGAATCTTCGACATGACTGGAGGTGGCCACTGGGGCTCCAGCACGGCGCTGCTCGACGCCATCTACCGCACCAAGCCCAAGGTGCACCTCTTCGGACACATCCATGAGCAGCGAGGCCATTGGAACAAGGCGGGAAGCCAGTACCAAGGTGGCGTGGAGTACAGGCCTAGTCCGTATTCTGGACAGGTCTTCCGCCCCAACGGCCCTCCTCCGCAACACTACCCGGTGGAGGTAGAGTCCAACAACGCCATGGCCAATCAGCCATCCGTGGATCACAGCTGGACCGGCGTTTGGGCGCCTCAGCACATCGTGGGCCGCCCTCGGGCCATCATTGCCAGAAGGCAGCCTGATGGATGGCACTTTGCATCTGAGGCATGAAGTGCCCTTGGAACCTGGGAGATTGTTTGTCAATTCGAAAATAAAAAGCAACTCTTTGCAATGCACGTAAAGTGAGCCGGTCGAGTCCAACAGTGAACTCAACTGCTCACACAGTTCCCAACAAAGAGGCCCTGTCTCTGGGTATGAGGAAGTCCCCAGAGGAGGGCCTCGAACAGTGGAGCCAGCAACAGAGGTCGGGAAGTGCCCACGCGCCACACCCGACAAAGTTTACTGGAGCGCTCTTCCGAAATCCTAACCTGCGTTTTGGGTTGTTCCGCTTTTGCGGCACCGATCTCATTGGTTGCTCTAATGCGTGGCAGGGCGGCAGCAGTGGGACGCAACCTTGAAGCCGCTATGGGCAGTCGCGAATCAGAAGCAAGCAGTCAGAAGCAGGATAAAGCGCATCCTCTTGCAGCAGCCTTGATAGAAATTCGTCGGCAGGGACAAGGGTCCACTTCACCTGCGATGCTGTCCTTGTGGCAGGCAGTCGACTCATCCTTGCAACCTGTTTTAGGCTTTTTGGGCAGTGCTGGAGATCCGGACACGCGCCCGAATCCTCAACAAATGCAGCTGATGACACATGGTCATGCCCAGATCTCCAGGAATTCTGTTGTGATGTGCGCCCGCCGCTATCCAACAGTGCACTGCTGAATGGAGCACTCTTCTATTGGTGCGGGGCTTTCCGCGGACATAGCGGCATTCCCAGCACCAGGCTCATGCATGCCTAGACTCCTAGACGCAGCAGGGTTTGTGCTCGGCAATAGACCCCGTTCAGTCCTTTCGAGATTTCTGAGACCAAGTGACCAAGTTCTCTTGCCTCTTGAAAGCTGGGACCACGTGCTTTTGACTTGTCCTGGCTCAAGGCAAAGAGGCTCAAAGAGGACTCGAAAAAGCTCCTCCAAGCTTCGGCATCCAGCTTTCTTCGATGGCCTTTCTTCGTGCATCGCTGATTGCGTTCCTGCTTGCCGTCGCAAGTGCAGAGGGAACCAACGGGACAGCCACAGAGACATCCAAGACAGAGCTGCCCGTGAACGCAACGAATGCAAAAGCGGTCGACCCTGTCGCACCAATTGCAGACAAGAGCGAGACTACAGCTGGACTGAAGGTCAAGCGCGGAGGCCAAGCGCAGGGCCCCGATGTTGTCCGGATCTTGCACATCAGCGACACGCATAGCCTCCATCGAAGCACAGGCAACATGCCGGATGCCGACATTCTGATTCATTCGGGGGATGTGGCCAAGGTCGGTTCCGAGAGCGAGTTGGGTGATTTCAACGACTGGCTTGGCAGCCTTAAAGGAAAGTACAAGCACATCCTCGTCATTTCTGGAAACCACGACTTCTGGGACACGAATTGGAGGTTGAACCGCGGACATATCTCCAGCGAGGTCGCCCAGGATCCAGCCTATTTCCAGCACAGGATCACGAATGCACGAGTCCTTAATCACGATCTCGCCGAGGTCATGGGCCTGAAGATCTGGGGCGCCGGCTGGCATCCTCGGAGAGGAGATTCCCGGTCCGGAAACGACTATGCAGACATCCCCGAAGGTGTTGACATCGTCGTTACACACGAGGCCCCGTTTGGAATCTTCGACATGACTGGAGGTGGCCACTGGGGCTCCAGCACGGCGCTGCTCGACGCCATCTACCGCACCAAGCCCAAGGTGCACCTCTTCGGACACATCCATGAGCAGCGAGGCCATTGGAACAAGGCGGGAAGCCAGTACCAAGGTGGCGTGGAGTACAGGCCTAGTCCGTATTCTGGACAGGTCTTCCGCCCCAACGGCCCTCCTCCGCAACACTACCCGGTGGAGGTAGAGTCCAACAACGCCATGGCCAATCAGCCATCCGTGGATCACAGCTGGACCGGCGTTTGGGCGCCTCAGCACATCGTGGGCCGCCCTCGGGCCATCATTGCCAGAAGGCAGCCTGATGGATGGCACTTTGCATCTGAGGCATGAAGTGCCCTTGGAACCTGGGAGATTGTTTGTCAATTCGAAAATAAAAAGCAACTCTTTGCAATGCACGTAAAGTGAGCCGGTCGAGTCCAACAGTGAACTCAACTGCTCACACAGTTCCCAACAAAGAGGGCCCTGTCTCTGGGTATGAGGAAGTCCCCAGAGGAGGGCCTCGAACAGTGGAGCCAGCAACAGAGGTCGGGAAGTGCCCACGCGCCACACCCGACAAAGTTTACTGGAGCGCTCTTCCGAAATCCTAACCTGCGTTTTGGGTTGTTCCGCTTTTGCGGCACCGATCTCATTGGTTGCTCTAATGCGTGGCAGGGCGGCAGCAGTGGGACGCAACCTTGAAGCCGCTATGGGCAGTCGCGAATCAGAAGCAAGCAGTCAGAAGCAGGATAAGGCGCATCCTCTTGCAGCAGCCTTGATAGAAATTCGTCGGCAGGGACAAGGGTCCACTTCACCTGCGATGCTGTCCTTGCGGCAGGCAGTCGACTCATCCTTGCAACCTGTTTTAGGCTTTTTGGGCAGTGCTGGAGATCCGGACACGCGCCCGAATCCTCAACAAATGCAGCTGATGACACATGGTCATGCCCAGATCTCCAGGAATTCTGTTGTGATGTGCGCCCGCCGCTATCCAACAGTGCACTGCTGAATGGAGCACTCTTCTATTGGTGCGGGGCTTTCCGCGGACATAGCGGCATTCCCAGCACCAGGCTCATGCATGCCTAGCTGCAGCATGGTTTGTTTGCACGTGCAGACTGAGATGGATCGCCCAAGCGAAGCTGCTGAGCATTCGGAGGTGAGTTGTGCGAAATTGAAAGCAGACAGGCTGCTAATATTGCTTGATTTCTTTCACATTCAGCAGAAAATCCTGCGCTAGGTGTCCGCTCCGGATGAAGTGGTGCTCCGCATCCCTCTACCGAACAATGTGGTAGGTGGTGACCAGCCGCATCCTGAGAGTCATCAGCCGGGTGTTGAGGATTCCTGGCCAAGCATCTCGAGCCTTAGGTGGTCATAGATACCCTGTTGACTCTATTTCTCGTTCCGCATTGAAAAACTTTGGTAAACTCTGGTGGGTTCTTAACCTGGTTTCTTCACGGCTGCCTGTGTAATCGGGTGTGCTTTTTGCTGTGCGGAAGGTAACTTTGCTTGTGAGTTGAGGGGTCTCCTGGTTATGTTTGAGGGTCGTTCGGGATACGGCGACTCCTTTTCACAAGTGGAGTTGAGTTGTGAGCTCGGCGGCATTGCTCTCCTTGTAACCGTATTGCTTGTTTACTGTGTCAGTGGTCCCTGAACCCTGCGATTGCTCCCGACGGATTTCGGACGGATTGCCCTCCACGACTCTCTCAGCTGGGTTGGCATGAAAACATGTGCCGCGACCGCCTGTGCTTGTTTATGGTCCCCAAGCGGACACACACACACACAGAGAGACAGCCCCCCTCACAGCGCAATTGCAAAAACTGCGAGTGTCAACAGGCTCGCACTCCCAAGACAGGCGAATTCGTGTCAGACTGCGAAACTCCGAAATGCAAGTAGCACTTCTGTATCGCCGAAACCCCATCCGAGCTGCTCCGACGAGGATGGTCATGGAGAAGAATGACATTGGCAAATGGGGTATAAAGCATGTTCCGGCCTGAGACAGCAAAGTCGGACCGCACAGAACTTCTAAGTCTAGCCTTCTACTGCGAGGCTCTGAGGGAAGATGGTAAGTTGTGAGTGCGGCTGTGATAGGTTGCCCAAACTGCCGTATTGCATTCTTCAGAAAAGCAGCGCTTCGGCTCCGTGCGAGGTCATTCGCGGAGAGTGCGACGCCTCTCAACTGTCAGATTCTGAGTCAGGCTTCGGCCCACACAGTGTGGCCTGGTGTCCAAAACGTAGAAGCGAGGATGTTTTGCAGTCGAGTGATTGTGAGCCGCGGGCACCGTGGCTTTCACTTTCAATTGGGAGGCTTTCAGGCAGCTTATCGGCCCGGTTTGTGATTGGACCTTCCGCGACTCCCGGCTTTCCGAAGCCCTCGATCAGCAGCGATTTGCTAGTCCTGTCGCTTGCGAGGATGCAGTCCTTAGAGTGCCTGCAGAAGACGCCGCAAGACGTCGTGCTGCCTGCACATTGCTTCATATACTTGGGGTCCGCACATGGATGTCAGCAAGAGCCCATAAAAATAGACGTTCTAGCTGCAGCGCTTTGTCACTCCAAAATCTTGTATGCAGGACAGCGCATGCCCGGTTGTGTGCTCCACCAGCACTGTAGGGCGGCAAACATGCTCCGCGACTGCAGAACCACATGCTGCTCGGGTCACCCCGCCTTTCCGAGCTTCCGAAAGCGAGGCTCGCATATATTTGCATGGAGTATATGAGTATATCAAACATGATCTTCAAAAGGAAAAGCTCCCCCGGAAGATTTTCAGCTCCAGAGATGCTGCCAGGCACAGGATTTGTGCCAACCACATGACGTCCTGACCTGTTTATCGGGAGGGTAAGGGCAGGAGGACTCTTTGCCATGGCACTGTGGAGAGGTCCTTGAGGAGACACGATCCGAGTAGGCTCACCCTTGGCCCAAACCCCGCCTTGCTTTTCGCCAGGTCTGCAGGGTCGCACTGAAGACCAGCAGCTTGGAGGAACTTTGCTTTTCAACTCTTCCGCTAAAGGCAACGCTCCGCAGCACCAGGTTCCCTCAAAGAGTGCCCGTGGCTTTTGAACTCCTTCGCAAGAAATAGCCCAGGCAAGGGCCTTCTCAAGATGAGGTGTGGTCCGCGTTGTATTCAGGGGCAGTTCAATTGGAAGGTTGCTTGCTCCGCTGGCGAGTCGATTGCATTTCTGCTGGTGGTTGCTGAGCTTGGAGAGCAGCATGTGCCCACAATCTGTGCTCTTGCGGCTCTTCGTCTGATCGCCTGCATCACATCCTGTGCTGAGTTTCTGCAGGGTGGTCCCTGGCTGGGCTCCATTGGGTGCCCAGCGGTTCTTGCAGCTGGTAACGGACAAGTGCGCGAGCGAGGGAGAGCGGGGGGGATCCAAGCTAGACTCTCTGCTTGGGCCGAAGGAAGCCCGGCCTCAAGTCTTGAAGGTTCTGGGGCCTCACAGCGAGTCCAAGCAACAAGTTGACAAAGAGCACTCCAGCCAGAGGTACTACACAGATCTCGCCGTCTATCGCGCAGTGCCTTGGAGGGCCGTCTTCGGGTTTGCGTTGCTGTTGCCTACCGATACACCGCATTGCCCAAAGCAGCTCGCATCTGTAAATTCCGGCAGTCCTGCCCAGGTCAACAGAGCATGCTTTGCTTGGATAAAATGAAACATCACTCCGAACTTCCAATCCTGTGCTTCTCAGGTGTCGAGTTTTTTGGTTCAGTTTGGCGTCACGGGCGACATGGAAAGGAGCTCCAAGTACCAGGCGCAACAAAGTAATGACACACAGTCCGTGAAGGGGAAACATGGCTGAGTCGGGCTGAGTGGGCAAAAAGGGGCCTGGCACGATTCGTGTGGTGGACCTCGGACCTCATGGAGGCAGAGAAATCATGCCCCGATAGGTTCCTTGCTTTGCCATTGTCCCGAGCGAAGCAATGCAGAAAACAAGCCGCTAGCGGGAGATGTCGAACCTGAAGCCGGTGCGACCGCCAAAGCCCTGCGCACAAAGCAGCTTCGACTTCCCCGCCCCCCTGATAAACCTTCGCTGGACAACCGGAGGGCTCCCTTTGAACGGTTCCCACAGCGGATGCCTGAAAGTGCCTGAGGCCCTCGAAGACGACGAGCTGAGGGGAGTGCCTATCCTGGACTGCCCGGGAGGGGGGCGGGGGCCCGGCAGCTCTGTGAGACCTGAGGTTCTAAAGCCCCGCTCAAACAATGGCAGTAGCAGCTGTAGCAAAAAGGATGCAGCTCATGGCTTCCTCCCTCCAAGGGGACCCTGTGCTCAAACCTGGAGCACGACTGCAGTTTCGGAAACTCTGCTTTGTGAGGAGGGCATGGTGTCCTTCGCAGCAGCCGCACCGCCGGAGTCCTAGGTCTTTCCATTCTTCCCGCTTTGGGCTTCCGGTCTCTGAAACAAAGGGAGGCATCAATCAAGATAGCTCCATGGCAACTTTTGCTTTGAGGGCGTGCCGACTGTTGCTAGCCTTGCGAGTGTCACGCAGATAGTAATCGCCATCTCGCATTGCACCAGCTTGTGAGAAGCTGGGGGCGTTGAAGTGTTTGAGCCGCCGCTCGGCCGAGGGACTCCCGCGTAGCAACCGTCTGCATCTTCCTGGACGATTTCCCACAGCTGGGGAAGCCCCTCTGCGGCAGCGAGCGCCGTGCTTTGAGGAGTTGGTGGACTGCTTGTGATCTGCAGCCGACGTGAGCCAGGAATCGCTGGGAAACGCCCTTTGGCAGAGTCGACGAGGAGTCCTTGCCAGTGCCCGGGCCCCGGGCATACGGTTCGGAGCACGCTATGTACTTGCAGCACAGTCTGACAGGGGGGGGTTCGCATGATCTAGCTGGTCACTTGTGGCAACAAGAGACACCTCGTACCCACTCTTGCCGGGTGATCGAGATTTGCTTGGTATCCAGCCTGCTCCGTCTGCCGCCGAGGCTACACAAGCTCTTCACAGGGCAGCCTGGCTTCAGCATGAGCTCCAACAGGAGCCGGCATGCGATTGCGTGCAGATCAAGAAGCAACCACGGACCTCAGGAATTTGAGGCCCTCAACCGCAAACATCCCCAAGACCAACCAGGTATGGCGACATGCCCCAGTGTGGTGGCACAGGCCCTGACCCAGTCCAAATTTTGGCACCGGCCTCGTCTAGAATTTTTGGCTTTGGGAATTTGAGCAGCTTGGCAGTTGCGGGACGCGAAGACTGCTACCTGCTGCCTTTTGCACCAATACCGAGCACAGACAGCATCGCCAAGGAGCAGGGGAACGACTACATCCGGCAGAACTTCCCACAGTGCGACTTTGTGGACCTTGCACGCTTGCGATGTGCTGATGTCTTTCGGATCCCCGGATTCCCGATTCGACCTGGCATGCTTATCAGGGATCCGAAGGCTCGAAGCTTCCAAGGTGTGGAGACGGGGTGGTAGAGGTCTTCTGCTCACCGTGACAGGTCGAGTCCGCGGAGTGGCTGCAGTGAGGCAGCTTCTGCGTCCAGAGACGTTTTTGTACATAGCCCACCTTGCGACCGGTACAGAAGGAGTTTGTAAACCAAAAACCAAATTCAAGCCTAGCTATGAAACGTCGCAATCCTGGATCACAACCGCATCTGGACGGTCGCATTGTGCTCGGCGTGCAAACAGTTGGAAGTCCTGCAAGAATTTGCAGCAACTTCTTTGGTCTAATCTGACGGGGGGAGCGCTGTTCCGAAGATTGCTGGAGTTGCTTCTGAGTGGCTGAGGTTCTGAGTTGGAAGGTATGGTAGTCATCGGATGCTTCATGCGGTGCGCGTTTGTCGGCCTCCAAAGCTTCTTGGGCTCGGGAAGTCAGGGGAAGCTGCCAATTTCCAACTCAAGGAAATAACGGAAAGGCAACACGAGCCCGACATCGAAGCCCTTTACCAAAGCCTGACTGCAAGGTGACCGAATCCCCCCCGTTTCCGCCTCCCCGAAGGAAGACTTCAGTCCCAGTGCGAAGACAGCCAAGCTACTAAGCTACTGCCTTCCAGAAAACCCGACAGTTTTGTGGATGCCTGAGACGCCATGGGTTGCAAATGCGTCCGGCTCAGGACCGGGGACGAAGCGGGAGTCAGCGGTAAGCACGGTTTGTGGTCAGGAGAATGGCGAGGAGCAAGAGCACTGGGAGTCGCTCCTAGAGCTCTGCGAAGGTTACCGCACCGTGGCGAAAGCACCGGGTCGCTTTGCTTGGTCTCTGTGGTCCAGTTCCTGCCAGCGGTTTGGGGGTTGCGCCTGAGGAGAGTTGCACGCCACAGAGCCACCTTTAGAACGCCGAGCACTCTCCTGGGCCAGGCTCCCGTGGCGTCACTGAGCGTGCTGCTAGTGTGGCGGTGTCTAGCATGAATCGACTCGACTCGACCCTTGACAGGAATCGCCAATTGCGAAGGTTGAAGGTACTAACCCTGAAAAGAGGGCATTGCACAAATGGAGCCGATGTTGTGCATTGAGTCGAACAGTCTCAAAAGACCATGTTTGCGCCCAGGGCCCCAGTGGTTGGCATTCCTTAGGAGCGCTGTGACTCGCGCTCTGCTCTTGTTTGGTCCCCAAATCCCCTACCAGGTTGCCCGATGCGGGCTAAGTCTTCCGCACCAAGTCTCTGAGCAGGTGCATCGCCTTCGCACAGGTGGCACTTGGAGTCTTGACCTGCAAGCTCTGAAACGTCGGACACGGCATCTCGCCCCCGGAGAGGAGAGAACTTGAGGCTGCAGGTTCAAGCTTTATCTCCAGGCGCAAGAGGCTGCCTTCAGCGTGGCCGAAACGGCGGGCCGCGTGTCATCTGGGTGCTGGCAGCCACAGACGAGGCAGGCGGAGATGTTTTAGGGAAGTCGTACTCGAAGTCTCCGGTGCCGGGTGTGCGCGAGTTGCTGAGCTTCAGTGGCTCATGGTCTCAGCTGTCTCAACGAGCCTCGAACGGTCTGCCCACCCTTCCAACAGACACTTTCTAAACTCCTTGTCGAGGCCCAATCACTCGCCAGGCTAGGACTTGCACAACTTCTTTCTCAAGCCGGGACTCCCTAATCTTCAGAAGCTCCTTTGCACACTGAAACGTGATGGCCACAGTCTTTGAGGTGGAAGGCGCGCTTGCCGAGCAGGGATACTTCAAAGACGTCTTTCGGCTGCCTCCATCAAGAACAGAGAGGACAGTTAGTTTTTGTTCAACAGTTGGAGCTGAAGCCGCATCTAAGTATATGGAGACTAGGTTGGGGATATGGGTGCTTGTGACAGTGGCGCGGGTGTTGGGCGAACTGGCCGCCTCAGCATGCCTATGTAAAACGCCTTCATCCCGAAGGCGTCCACTATTTACAGCCCTGAAAAGCAAAACGATGTCCAAGCAGTGAAGCCCGTTTTCGACACTCCTCGGAAGCAGAAGCGAGCCAAAGCGAGCCGAACAAGAAGAGCAGCGCGCGCGCCCCAAGAAGTCTCGCGCAACTCGCGCAACAGCCAGCCTCATCCGAGGCGGCGTGGCTCGACCGAGCTCCGACCCAGGCCAGGGCTCCAGGAGAGCCCTAGAAACGTACAGCTGCACTGTGCAGTCACAGGTGCCCGCACCGTGTCGCTGACAAGCATACGAGTTCCGTTGAGTGCTATTCTGGCTACTGCAGTTGTGTGTAGTTGCAGAGCCCTCCCCTTCACAGCCTCACGGAGAGGTGGTCATCCTTGGCAATGGCATGCGACAGCTCAAGCCAACTTTGAGGTCTCCGGGCAGCCTTCCGTTTCGCTTTCGTTTTCTTCTGTGCAATAGGCACAGAAGGTGTCAGCAACCGAGGTCTGGCGGCGAGGGAAAGACAAGCACGGTTCGCATATCGAACCACCAGCACGCGAAGGACCAACCACACTTTCCGACTTTCGCATGCGTCACGCGCACAGTGAACTGAAGCTTGAAGCTTATCAAAGGATTCTGCAGGCGCTCAAATGCAGCACCTTGTGTGGGAGCGGCAAACCTTGTTCGTTCACTTGCATTTTCTGTATAGCCTCAACTTCAGGACCTCCCTGCACCCCACCTCGCGATTCTGTTCATGCCTGACCGCGAGAATTTGGCCTTCGAACCGGGCACCTGGGACGGAAGCTCAAGGTTGGAAGTATCTGCTTTCCGACACCACTCCGTCATAGCTTGCGGCATCAAGTCTGCGAAGCTCTGGGGAACTGAGGTGGGAACGAAGGTTCAGAGCTGCCTTCGAGAGACATACCCCGAGAGGTCCGATCCATGTTGGTTGGAGCACCTTGGTCTCAGGATGTCCGCGGAGTTTGAGCCGGTGAGCTACCTAGGACTTAGAAGATGTCGAAGGTGGTAGATTCGTGCTGCTCTCCTGTGCTTGGTTCTGTGAACCCTCGAGCGCTCTTTTTGAATCCAAGGTTCCTGTGGTCGTCTCTACCTGCTTCAAGCTGTCGACAAGACTGCAGTAGTGCTGTAATGCGTGCGGGGCAGAGTTTGCCAGTCGAATTTAGGATTTTGGGATTTGGGTTCGGATTCATGTGGAAAACTGCGCCGGTGCTCGTTATGTTCATCTCAAGCGCTTCAGTTGTTTATGGGAAGTGTAGAAGTCACAATGCTGCTTCGCTGGTTGCTGCCGCTGTGCTTCACATACACAGTGCTGGCCGATGGTCCGTCAAGATTTGCCAGAAGCACTATCGAAGCGCTTTGCAGCGATTGCGAATGTGCAGCCATTAACTCCTCTGTCGCAGCAGGGCCCGAAAGCTGTGCCGAGAGCTGTGAGCTCAAAACCAACTTTTTCCACTTTCGGGAAAGTTCTGGTCAATGCTCGTGCTGCATCGATCCCCCAGCCTCCTCCAGCACCGGGACAATGGTTGGGACCAGCATCTACCAATGGAAGGGGGTCCTTCAAGGTTACTCGAACACTTGCGAGATGTGCAAGTGCGGCAACGAGTGGCTGGGGTACCACTCATTTGCCGACTGCGCCGACACTTGCTCCAGGCAAGGGTTTACTCGTTTCCAACATGCCAATGGTCGGAAGCCCAACGGGGAAAGGGGAGACTTCAATTGTGCATGCTGCCACACAGACTCGGCACCCCTCAGTGACCCTGAATGGGGTGTGAATGTTTACGACTTCGGCACGGCGGATCTTTTCCCGGAAAGCCGCTTCAGCAGTGCTAGTATCTCGGTGGTTTGTAGTGACTGCGGGTGCCAGGTAAGTGAGACCTCCTGGTCTGGAGAAGGAGTCGAAGCTTGTGCCGAGAGGTGTGAGCTGAAGAGCAGTTTCTTTCAACATCGGAATGACGCCTCCGGTCCATGCTCGTGCTGCACTTCCCCTACATTGAACACTGGTCAGGATCATCTTCTTGGTCATAACGTCTACCAATGGAAGGGGGTTCAACAAGGCTACTCGAGCCTGTGCGAGCTGTGCTGGTGCAACGAGGCTGGTTGGCAAGGGTACCACTCGTTCGCCGACTGCGCAGACATGTGCTACAGGCATGGGTTCTCTCATTTTCAGCATGCCAACGGTCGGAAGCCCAACGGAGAAACAGGCGACTTCAACTGTGCGTGCTGCGACACAGACTTATATACCAGCGACCCCACATGGGGGGTGAATGTTTATGCGTTCCAATCGGCAGTCTCAGCGAGCCTTCGTGCCAGATTCGTCTCGTCAGCAGCTCTTGCATTGTGTTTGTTCGGTTGGACGCTTTCTGCGAGCACAGTCACGCCTTCGTGGCCCGATCACTCTGGTATGTTCATGGCATGACAATGCGTGACAACCTCTTCTCATCGAAGGTTTCACAACTATCGCAAGCCACATGGGCCTCCGGTAATGCTGACACCGCTTAGCGATGATGTATCATCACTTTTCGGAACCGACCTAACGAGAGCGAAAACAGTCAGCGCTTGCGGTGGGTACTACAGTGAAGAACCAAAGGCAAGCCGAACAGCAGTTTCCCGAAAATCATTAAACCCCACAAGGGTATTGAATTCTTGCTCCGACAACCTTAATAGTCAGTCTTTGGCGATCGGCCTTTTGAACTTTATGCCCTGCTCATCAAGCCCCAAATGCGCAAATCAGGGTTCAGGGCTTAGGGTTTTGCGAAAGCCACGCACTATTATTCAGGCCTTCCGGCATCAAGCTTCATACCCTGTAATTCTTCTCCAGTCCTCTCCCTTCTTTGTGGCCTCTTATGGTTTACCGCTGGCGGCCTGCTGTGAGGGTGCAGAACGCGGTAATGTCCTAATCTTGCTAACCCCAGTCCCCAAGCTCAGCTCAACGAGCCTCAGTTTCCTTACCTTCTTAGCCCTCTACTGCAGAGCAGTTCTGAAATGGTGCCCATTTGTGTTTCCGGGAGGAGTCAGCCAGCGCTTGAGCAGTCTGGGTCGGTTGCTGCTTCTCCAAGAGACTCTTGTGCTCAGAAAAAGCTTGGTTTTCGCGAAAGGTCGGCTTACGGCCACCCATTGAAAGGCTTTCCGAATGGGAAGGGTCGCTTATCGGAGTTTGTTGTTAGGGAAACTAAAGCCCGAGGCGGTGTCCTTTTCCTTCCTCTGCATTAAGGCCCTGCCCGGTCTCATAAGATTCGTGTTTTTCTTCGTGGATGCCGCATGTCCTATTCCTGAGCATTCGTCTTGGCTTCAGCATCCCTTAAAACCAAGGACGCGATGTCCTTTTTCCGCAAGTGCCGGCGCTGCTCGGCAGATTACTTCTTCTGGATTGGAACTGCCAACTGCGGAAGATGGGACACGGTACCCACAAATTCGCTGTGCGCGATAGAGAAGAAGAGATTCAATTGACTGCTCTTCACGCATGTCTGAGCCCGTGTTGCCTGCAGCACGACGATTTTGACTTACGTTGGTTACGTTTCCATGATGTCATTGAGCTTGAGAGATCTTAACTGCGGCCCGGGTCCCCGACTCGAGGGTTCCAGGTTAACTGCGGCGGCACGCACTCACAGCTTCAGGAACTTCGGGGCTGGGGGCTTCAGAGCTCGTCGCTTTCGCCGTCAGGATCCCGACAGCCAGTTCTCTGACAACTCGTGGATCACAGCAGTCGAGGGCCCTGACGCTTTGGACTTCTTCATGAATTTGGCGTCCTGGCAGCCTAGCTGTTGGGGAAGTTCAGTGCCGCAAGGACCGATTCCACAAGTATAACTCGCGACATTGATCTGCGTAGCACCGCAAGCCTTTGTGGCATTGGGCTTTCTGACTACTTCTCGTGCACGTGACAGTTCGAGCCCAGTTGAAAGAGCGCCATCGATCAGCATGCAACCGTTGCAACAAGGCAATGTGGCGCTCTGATTTACCCCGAGCCTACACATACTCAAGTCGCCAAGGACTTGAGCATGGAAGCACCTCCCGTTCTGGAGGAAGATCAACGCATCCCGGCCGTGCTGCTTGGCAGCCCTCGCACGAAATCTCACAGGATCACAACAGAGCAGCCCCCTACAGACAAGTTCGTCCCTTTGTCCTGCTCCATCTCCAACCCATCGCAGACGTCAAGTCACGAGCCATTCGTTGCTTACTGAAACAAGCGCAGCAAAGTTGTTCAGCCATACCTGGCCTTCAGCTTCAAGCCTCGGCGGGGGTCCCTTGTGTTGGAATACTTGACCGAGGTTTTGGGGCATCCTGGACTTGAAGTACGATGGCCACTGGCCCAGAGCGAAGAGGTCGTCTTTGCGAGTTCCCGCGCCCGGCTGCGAGCCAAGGCTCGAAGCCCATCCTCGAGCGCGTGCGTGTGCTGGAGACTGGCGACGGCCGGATCTCCAAGTTCAGCGGGGACGGCGCTGCACTCCAAGACTGCATGCGCAACAGGCAACCCGGCCAGGTATTCGCACCTCCGATAGATCCGATAGCCGAACCCCTGACGAAGCCCATCGGGCTCCCAGCACATGTGGCCCATATTCTTTTTCGAATTGCAGTCAAGGTACACCTCCAAGGAGCCCAGCTTGTAGCCGCGCTTTGTGGGGATGTTCCGTGCTTGAAAAATTGAGACAGAGTCTCACAGGGCTGGGGTCTGCAGGCTTGGCGCCATGGGTGATCGTCCCACGTCCTAGTCCCCAGTCCTTCCTTCCCACGGCCACATGGGTACTCAAAGGTTGAGGGAGGTTGATTGCGTTGGTGCACAGACGCTCAGCTGTACATTTAAGAGATGTAGTGCCTTGAAGACAAAGCGCCATGTGGACAAGCAGCGTTATCAGCTTGTTCTGCCCCGAGCCTGTGCCTTTGCAAGAGGCTCTTTTGCCCTTATCAGACCTTCCTGACTGAACATGGTATTCAAAGCGCTGCATGCATGCCACTGGAGTTTATTGGAAGCATGAGCATGTAGAGGAATCGCTAACACCTCTGTAGCAGGAGAGTGGCGTGCTCCGCAAGTTTCATGTGATCTCCGCCGACAAGAAGCTGCTCGGTCGTACTACAGGCATTAGATGTTTGGCGTTCAGAGCGTGTACATACGCAGCTATCATGCATCCGTGAGACCTGGTCGACAAGCCAGCATTTCTGCACAATCGCATCCTTGGTGAAACTCTGGCTGCCGGCTTGTATGTGTAAGGAAGTGGACAACACAAAGCACACGATTTGGGCACAAGCTTCGTCAAGCCAGTCAGGCGAAAGCATTCACCGCAGAAACAGAAAAATCTTGATGCCACACAAGATGAGCAGCAAGCGGCCACTTTGGCCTTCCAGCTTCTGGAACATTCGGATGATGAAGCATAGTTCCGATCTCGTTCTGTTTTCCCCCTTCTTCAACATATATCAAGGGTCCCAAGGGCGATTATACCAAGTGTCCCAAGGGCGATCATATCTTTGCCTTGGTATATTTTGCCCTTGGGAGAAAACAGATTCTGCAGCCGCAGCTCTTCATTCAAGTAGGGCTAACTTGACGGTCAGCATGCTGTAGTTGTTTCCGTTTTTTTTTGGAGGCCGAAAGGGTTAGTTTTTGTTTGGCCTCCTCCATAGTCTCCTCACCAGGCTGACGCATGACCTCATGGAGCTCGCGGGCTATGGCCACATCGTCCCAGGCCTGGCTTTGCAGAACTTCCGAGACCCAAACCCACGGCAACTTCCCAGTTCCAAGAGTCGAGATCTCGAGAGTCCTCGACGTCCTCGATACTTGCAGCTGGGCACCGGGTTAACAACAGGTCTTGACGCTTCGGGAGGCGTCGGGCTGCTTGAAGGTTTGCTGGTAAAGATCGTTACAGCTGTTACTTGTACCGCTACATCGGGTCTCCGGGTCTTCTCTGGCCTTGGCCAGGTCAGTGTTGCTACCCGCGGCACTACCACATGCAGCTGGCGGACTCTCGGCTTTGGAGAAAGCCCGAGTGTGCGGTTTGCGCTGACGATCTTAGAGCTCCTCTCTCAAGGCGCCTTGACGACTGAGTCGGCTTGTGCTTCGCTTTCCCCCCCTGCACCGAGGAGCAGATCACGGCGGACCTGGACCTCGAGGAGGGCGACAAGGCGAAAGGGGGGGCGGGCGTTTCCGAACAGAAAAGGTGTGTTGGGGAGGGGGGGGGGGGGGGGGCACGCTCCGCCCAGGGCCCCGCGGTTCTGTCGCGCCTCGCCCCTTTCTCACGAGGTCGTGCTGAAGCTCTGCAATCGGAGTCGAGCCGCGGGTGTCATCGTCGCACCCGTCGACGAACTGGACGAAGTGCTGGAAGAGATCTTGATTCCGCCAGAGCTCCCTGGCGGATGACCGTGATAAATGGAGGGAAACTTCACACGGGTTTATAAAGGGCTTTTAGGCCGGGCAGGGGGATCCCGTTTAAGTGACGGGACCTCCTTCGTCCCACCTTCATAACAGCTTTGGAGGCACTTGACGGATGCAAGAGCCTGCAAGGGCTTTAGGATTTAGGGAAGGCTTCAAGAGTTTAGGGTTTTTAGGGGTTGGGCTTGTTGGGCTGAACTTTAGGGCTTTGTTTGGGATTTAAAGGTGTACGGCTTCAGGGCTGTGGAGTTTTGGAGGTTTGAGGGGCTCAAGGGGTGTAGGGATTAAATGTGCAAAGGTCGTACAGATCCAGGGTGGTGCCTGGAGTTCGCAATGGAGCTGCGATGTAGTTTGTTTCTTCCGGCTGTGCTTTCAATGCTCCGGTCACGGTTTGACAGTTCAGTAGTCCGACATGATTCCCCCGTTCTCCGAGCCCCAAGATCCCGCGAGAGCAGGAAAGCCTCCATACCGATTTTGAGAAAACACTCGGGACCTCACAGGAAGATGGATGGATGGCTCCAGGAGAAATCTCGTCCGCTACAAGAGGCGGAGTGACACGATTGCTGCTTGCGTGCAACAGTTTGAACTTTGTTGCATCGCTGCAGAAGCAGGGTCACAAGAAACAGGACCTTGATCTGAATCAAAGGTCTTCTATCATACCTTTAGGTTGCTTGGGTTCTGGAGTTGCAACTGCAGCTCTCCAAGTGGCAAGAGCCTGGCCAAGAAAGCTCAGAGTCTCCAATTCTTCTGCAAAAACCCAAGAGCTCACCCTTGCCATAGCCATTGCGCTTGAAGAATTTCGCAGGGGAAGAGGTCTCCTGGCGATTTCGACCTTGCGGCCTGGAACATCAAGAGAATGGGCGAACACTGACAGGTGTAATTATCCTGATGCCAAGCACAGCCAAGCAGCCAAGGCATGGGGCAGCTTCGAGGAGCAGAAGAGGCACTGGTGGGCGAACGCGACTCCGCTTTATCATTTTGAGCAGTGGGAGCAGTGCCTGTAGGATGATGGGGCGGGGCCGATGGCAGGGTTGCTTACCAATCACACATCGGAGAGCTAGGCCAGGAGGATGCAATTGACGTGCGCTGGGCGCGAAGAAGCTCGCTGTAGGTTTTGTTTCTAAACAACACCCTTCGCATGATCCCCGAAACACAGATTCGCAACTTCCTGCCCCGATTGAAAGGAGAGCCCTTGTTTCGTGGCCGAGCGCTGGTGCACCTCCACACCTGTTCAGAAACAAGGCTCCTCATATGTAACTTACACAAGTGGAAAGTCGGGGATTCTTAGGCTGTTGAACGCGCCGTCACGGATGAACTCGAGACAGTCTTCAACACCAGTTTTAGTCCAGTTCCACTAATGCCGTGGAGTGAGGCTGGATCGCATACAGGAAGGGCTGAGTGGCAGCGACACCGTTGAGCATTGCGTTGAGGAGAGAGCATACCACGCAGGGCACATGAGTTTTCGAGGCGGCCAGTCCGGTCACGGTTGCCGCAGGCAAACTCTTCGATGGAACGATGCGGGTTGGCTTCGTGATACTCTACAAGCGAGATCTGCACCTTGCCTGCATACAGCACGCCCGGGTCCAGGCCTTCGCCGCACTGCGCCGAGGCAGCGCTCCCGGGAGCAGCAAAACGGAGCGGCGCAAGATGCAGGCGCAGGCAAGGCGGAAGCTCTGAACGAGACCAAGGATGCACAGAGGGACAAGCGGCCACAAGCACATCCTGCCAGGACCTGGGGACATCCCGCAGCCAGAAGAGCTGGCAGTGCATTGGCTGGGTGGCTACTGGAAGCTCCCGAAGAGGGACATGTGTTCTTCTGACTTGCGCGAGCGCGTCGTGAGCGCCTGGGCCTGCACAGTTCCGCGGAATCCGCAATGCAACCGGAGACGTGTTCAGGCAAAGCAGCGATGGCTGCCTATTGTATGCAGATGTGGATAGGAAAGCTTCTTCAGTTCGATGGAAGGTTCCGAGGGGATTTCGTGCTGCATCAGCCTGCAGCCACAAGGTGCAGCCCGGACCTCTGGCACTGCACCAGTCCGGTCATCGGTTCTGGCCGAAGTGTACTCCGCCCTTGGTGCCCTGAACTGATTCAAGCGGCACCCCTCCGGACCCGTGGTGCCTAATGTGTTTCTGGTTGTGGAATCAGATCTTCGAAAAGGAGCTGTGCTCGGTGGGCACGGCCTAGATCAAGACTCCGGGTGGAGGTTCCAGACCAGCTATGTCCAGAGCCCGTCAACCCTCTCGAGCTTCAGATGGAAGCTGTCCACAGGTGAATCGGGTAGTCGGGTAGTCTTATCAACATGACATGCTGTTGTTGCTACATGTGCCTCTCCAACCCAACCCAACCGATCATGTGACTTTTCGACATGCTCCACCCATATATCACTCCTGCAAACTTTCAGTGCTTGGCATCCTTCAAGCACTTGTTTCAGAAATGTGGATCGATTCTTTACAACATCGACTCTTCAGATGCGCAAGTGATGAATCGAGGCGACTCGGTCCAGCAACTTTTCGGCGGGGTCGAGCCCACTTCCAAGATGCCGATTGGCATTTAAGCCTCGCTTATGACGGGCAATTTGGCAGTGGTTTGTCTTTGGCCTGAAATCGACTGGAGGCCAAATGGCGTCTCGTAACGGCGGACACTGCACGCATAGATCCCATAGTCACATACCCCTTCTGTGAACGATTCAAGTCACCCCACTGCAATTTGAGGTCTTCTAGAGCTCTTTGCGTGAGGGCTTGTATCTGGGCAGACGGAATCTAACAGTTTCATAGATCAGGATTGTCGGCGATGCGAACACCACAACTTCCAGAAGCCTCCATACACCCCTAGCGCTGCAACCTCAAGGCCCTTACTCAGCAACGAACCAGCGGGCCCCAGGCCCCAGACGTTGAAGCTGATGCCTGCACTTGTCAGCAATTTTTTTTCGAAGCCGCACGAGATGCCTTTGGCAAAGTCAGAGGAACTGTGAAGCCTGCCAAAGGATTGTTAATCCCAGGGTGTGCCCCAAAGCCGAAAACAGCAAAAGCGAGGCTGTCAGACCAGTACGATGGGAACCCGGAGCTCGCTGCATACTTAACTGCACGCCCCTCGTTGACCAAGCTATCTTTTCTGCAGCCGAGATAAGAGTCGAAGAGCCGTGTCAGTTTTGGAAGGGGTGCTCTGCCAGCAGCGTTCGTAACAGTATGGGGTTCTGCCGCTAAGATCAACTCAGGGACTGCACATGTAAACTCGCTGTGGTGGTGAATGGCGATTCGCACAGTTTCGACTACTGCCGCGTTCTTGCCACAGTCGGATATGCCCGCAGCATCCGCCGAAAAGGGACTGCCGAATTCACGGTTTGAATCCCCAACGTTTTGGTCTTCCTCCGCTGCCTTTTCTTCGTGGCGTCGGAACATTGGCATACCATTCGGACAGTTGAGGCCCGCCTTTCAATCAAAGGGTTTGGTTTTTTTCCGTTTCCGCGCTCTTGCATTTCTGCTTCCTCATGTATTTTGGGTTTTCGCCTCCCGAAGTCGCGCCACGGTGTGAGGTCCTCTTTCGCTGTTTGGAGTCCATGCTGGCACACTTCTCTTCAGCTTTAGCTTCGATGGCTCCGTTTGAAGGTTCTGTGGACCACTGCGGAGGTGGTAGCAAGTTGGGCACTGATAGAAGGGCAGCTCACCTAGTATGACCACATGTGCACCGCTTAGAATCTTGGACTGAAAAAGTAACAGACAGAATTCGCATACCTTTCACGGATGGAAGGTGGGACACAGCCGTGGCATGGCATAGTTGCATCGTCAGCCACTGCCAAAGTGTGAGTGCGATGGATCACCGAGGCCTCGCCGTAAGCAACCGTGATCATGCTCGGATGAAGAAGATGCCACTCGACATCCGCCAGTTGGGGCCGAGACACAGTCAACAGATTCCAAACCGGATTTGACCCGAACTCATTGTCTTTTGTTGTGTCCCCAGATTCGAGCAAAGCTTTGCACAGTCTAGGCCCCACGGCTTTAGTAAATCGACAGCACCAAGGCTCTACGACGCACAAGTCCTTGCAAGCAAGAGCATGCAGGAGCGCCATGGGCTCAGATCGCTCTTCCAAACTCCTTTCTTTTCTGGTTTTTCGATGGCGATCATTTTCAGTCCGACCTGGCCATATGTATTCACAGCGCACTTCGAGGTCGAGTTACTCGGGGTTTCGTGAGCATGTGCTTGCACGAAGAAAGCATGATAAGATTGTTGGGCAGCACGTACCACTACAGCCGACTCAAGCAGAGGCATGCCAGTTTGGATTCGAAGATTTCACAGCCCAAATTGGCACCAAGGTGGTAAGCACTTCGTCGAGCCGCCTGGAGGAGTCAGAGTGTTTCAGGATCGGAGCGGGATTAGCTGAGAACGCGTTTCTGAGTGTGCGGATATTGGAGGTGAGAAGCTGGGATGATACACACTTGGGCTTCAGTCTATTGCTTGGAACAATTTTGGAACCCTCTCACATGCCAACGCCAGACACTACGTGGAATGTCCTGAAGAAGAATGTAAAGTGGATCCTGGCTTGTCCCAGGTGGAACGGTTTTAGACGTGCTTTCATTCACAACACGAAGTCGCTCCACGCTTCCTCTACCCCGCGCCTCTAGCTAATCTGCTGAGGTCTTTTCTCGCACGCTGCCATGGGGTCCTCGAGGCGCGCAGCGCCAACAAGGACACCGTCGTGATTGGCACGTTCCGCTTCAGATTCGCAAAGACTCGTTTAGGGCTGACTGCAGCGGTCTCGAAGATCGCACTAATTGAAGCCTCGAAGCTTGATCCGTCAGCCGAAAGCATGAGTTAGTTGTAGGTGCAGATGTCAGGCCTTTTGCCCTCAACAGGATCGCTGGGAAGGTGCCAAGAGACACTTCGTGAAGTCCCTGAAGCTACCGGGCGCAAACGCTCAAGTGCTTGTTGAGCTGAGTCGTCTTCGGAAATTGTGGTGTCTTCTGAGCGTCAGACTGGCGACTGAGGGTGTTGTGTCGGGTTGGTGGTCATTTCAGACTTCAATTTGGCATGGGGGCCCCTCTCCGTCTTGAACTTGAAGGGTGACCAAGCGTTCGGAATCCCAAATCAGTATGAAGCCCAACTCTGGATTGCCGGCCAAGTTGCAACAGGGCAGTCTGCAAAGGAACGCAAAACATAAAATCATATTCCCGTAACAGGTACCTTGCCCCGCGATGTCCATCCGTTTTCGGCCGCATGTCAGATGTCAGGCATTCTCCTTCCAATGCAAATGCACTGTATCTTCTGGGAATGTGTGCGCTGGAGCTGGGCAAGCCGCAAGAGGCGGTGAGCCTCATGACCAAGAGCCTGCCACGCAGCCGGACTAGGCGTTGACCACTCCAGGTTTGGGGCCGGGGTGTTGAGTTGAACAAGCTGGACGGTTCAGGCTTGAAGGTCGGCTTTGGGAATCAGGCTCAAGGGACACTTCTCCATCATGCTTGCTGACACATGCCACGACTTAGACTTTGACATACGGATGCTTGACTTGCCATCTCCCATGTCTTGTCATGGGCCGGCGGCTTTCCACTATCGCCCAAAAGCACGTCTTCAAATCGCTTACTTCCCCAATCCAAAATGAGGCCTGAGACCCCTGAACGCATACGACAAGCTCTTCGACAGCAAAGGCTGCTGGATCCAGACTTCCGTGCCCCCTACGTCTGCTTGGGGGTTGCCTTTCTGCGGCTGAAGCATTTCGAGGAGGCCATTTCCATCTCGGAGGCCTCGGCATGTGCACGCGTAGATGCCAGCAAAACATTGCCAAGACTGACATGTGTGTACGTATGTCATGCAAGCTTGAAAGCCTTCTGACATAATCCGAAGACCACGGCCCGCTCGATCTCAGCTCCTGAGAGGCTTGCCTGGACAGGCACCCTTCTTCCCCACAGTGCGTGCACCTTGGCCGCAGGAAGGCTGGATTCTTGACGCAGCGTATCCCTGGACGGCCCTCACATCAGCCTCCATCCTTAGACACACTCATCATTCTTAGTCTCGCTGGCTTGTTTCGAGACTTACTTGTTTTTCCCTGTGGACGTTGTAGATCTGACCCTCAATCAGGTAGATTCGCTACCCCAGCTTCCAATAAACATCACTGCCGCACACGGGATGCCGCAAGAGAAAGGTTTGACTCTCATGAACTCGCTCGCGCTTTGCTTGGCCATGTTCTGTTTAAGGTATCACATCGGCGTGGCGTGCTGCCAACTGTCCCTGCTCATCACCGCGAAAGAAGCGGCTGGTTCTTCGATTGCAACTGCAGCCTTGAGGTCCACAGGCATTACAGTACTGTTCTGCTTTGTGACGCTGAGCTACTCCGCACATCAACAAGGCATTCCACTGGATTACCAAGAGCGGCAACTCCTGGCCCCTTGGGTGGGTTGGCTTCGGGTTCCGGAGTTGTGCTCCGCTTTTCGTCCGGTTGCATCCCCGAATCCCTTGGCTTCTTCGGGCTTGGCTGGCATGCAGAAGATCATGTCTGAGCTTCACGCAAACCAAGGACGACCTGCGCAAGCGAGCTTTGGCAAGCCTGTCTGAGGCACGAAGCCTGCATGGGTCGACAGGGTTTTAACATCGAGCTTGCCCTTCTCCAGGCACGTGAGAGCGAGGAAGGTCAGAAGCGGAAGCCCAACCCTGGCTCTGGTCGCGTGCCTGTCGCCTGGCTGGAGCAGCCCCTGATGTAATGATCACCTGCGATTCACATTCAAGGCCAAACTTGAAGGAAGCACTGCCATTTTGTCTCCAGACCCTGCAAAGGAAGCGCCATGGCTCGAGAGCGACGGTGCCATGATAGACGCTTTGCATATCGAAGATGTTGGTTCTCTTGAGTCTTCTCATGCTTTATATAGTCTCTTCAGCAGTTTAAATCAGACCACTATTCAGGACCAACCGACCAAACGTACAGACTCAGAAGGGACACTGACGCTCCCCGTGGCCTAGGACATGCTTGCCGCAGCCCGCGGGATGCGAAACGGGCTTGGAGGTGGATACAACCAGGACGCGCATCTGATTCGGAAGGGCTGGGATGTGAAGCAGGCTCGCCGGCTTCAAAGACCTGGTCAGAGAGCCACGTGCGATGGGTCTAGAGCACGCATTTATTGAGTTGTGGAGTTAAGAGTTTCAGCCACACTGTGAGGAAACTCGACCAGCAGAATCTCCATATCAGCGTGCAGCTTGCAAGCTTACGATAATTCACATCAGAATATGTGTCGAAACTACGCCGCCTCATTATTCTTCCTGCATTGGCGGCATTCGTAAGGCGTTGGCGCGCCACGCAGGGGCTGAAGTCATCTTCATTGAAGCTGGGGCAAGTACTCCAAGTTTTTTCTTGTCACTCACGTCCACCCGGCCTGGTGAAGACTTCCCAGCTGATGTTGAAAATCGTTCAACCGAACTCACACCCCAAGTTCCAGAGGTTAAGGGATTGTCTTCTGTTGTTGCGCCGCCATATCCTGCAAGGATGCTGCTCAAGCCCGTGAGATACGGCTGCCACCCACGGTTGGCTGGAGGATTTTTGGCTGGCGCACGTGAAAAAGATGCAAGGGTTTCAGAGAGCACATTGCGCAATAAATCACCCGAAAGTCAAAAACCTTTACCCTGTCAAGCAAACAGCATCAGCACCGTCAGATACTGCATGCAATCAACAAGCCAGGCGCAGTGCAGGACATTGATTGCGTTTTGCCAAGGTTGATTTATCCAGATCTTGCATCCCCTCTGCATGCAGAGTCAACAGCGTTTGCATGCGTTAGACTGGCTGTGGTGCACATTTTCCAAAGTGGATGTGCCGCGCAGCGCCAGTGGCGTGCATTGCTATGCTTTTCGGGGTCCGAATTGTCAGAAGTCTTGGAATCTCCTGCGATTATTGTTGTGGCTTCGGCAGTGCGGACGCCGTGCGATACGAGCTGCTGTGTTCGTTTTTGCATTGACTGCAAGCTTGCTGGTTCTCTTGGCACTGTGCTCAAGATCTTTGTCCTGCTTCTTCAAGCATCGGACAAGGCCTCCCGGTGTGCTAATTGGGCGACAGAAACAACATCTGAAGTGGCTTCAGTTTGTACACATGTATCTCCTTGCCCACTGTCTCCGCTGAGAAGTCAGAGTCTATATATCGCATGCGCGTACCATGTCCTTGCATTTGTCCTGTGTGAACCATGTATGTGGGACGATTGGCAAGGAGAAAAGTCGACACGGATTCGAGCTGTGCTAGTGCTAGGCCATGGAGTCTGACTTCTGAGCTGAGCTGGGTCTCCGAGCGCCAATAGTGAGTGATTGCATGGAAGTGTATAGTATGCTGCCACCGTCTCCTTTTCAGCAGAAAGGAAGCAATAATAATCATCAGAGTGCATCAAAGAACGCATTAAAGACACCCCCCCCTCCAAATGCTTGGTACTGGCTTGAAGAAACAAAAAGCGCATTATAGAGGCCCGCCGGTTTAATTTGAACTGGTTCGGGATTTGGGTCTGCTCGGGGGGGCGCCTTTGCTGGGGCTGAGGCACTGCGGGTCAATATAAGGGCTGCTATAAGGCGTCAAAAGGCATGAAGGCACGTTTCAGGTTTGGGGGTTTGGGCTTCAGGGTTTAGGGGTTTCCGGTTTGGGGCATCAGACTTCGGGCTTAGACTATCTTAGACTGTATGAAGTAAGAATAAGGGCTCAAAGTTTTGGCGGGCGGTGGCTACCTGTATCTCCAGAATTCTCCAGGCTGGGGCTCTGAACACGATGTTCTGCAGCTCCCTTTTCGGGTTTAGGTTACTTGGGTGTACTAGGGGCTTAGGGTTTAAGGCACTCGGCACTCTGGGGTCTAGGGGCGTGCTTGGGTCTGGGGTTTAAGGGTTTAGGGTGTCGGAGTTTTCAGGTCGAGGGTTTAGTTGGGGTTCAGGGTTTAGGGTTGCTATCCTGGCGTGACGTTGCAAGCCAGTTGCAAAAGGGTGCTTTGGTTTAGTGTACTTGGGCCTGAGGTTTGGGAGTTTATTGTTTTATTGGTTTAGGGTTTGGGCCATTGGGGGTTTCAGGTTGAGGGTTGGGTGTTAGGTACTGGGGTTAAGCAGTTGTTTGCTGCGAGAGTTCACGTCGTTGAAAGATGGGAGCTGGAGATGGAGACAATTCAGGCGGAATGAGCTTTGCCCCATTAACTGGATTTACACGGTTCGTTGGCAGTACGGGCGAGACTACAGGCTCAGCCTGACGATGATTCACCTGTCTAGGGAGAAAATGGCAAGAACGGACGTAGCGCTTGGGATGTTCAGGGCTTAGCGTTTGGGGCTTGGGTTTGCAGGTTCAGGGCTTACGGCTTGGGGGCCGGTCTCTCGGTGGTGTACGTAGCACATGTACTACCAATTTTTTGCACCTTTTTGCGGCTTTCAGTTTGTTGTAGTTGGCGTTTCTAGTGTGCCGGGAAGGCGCTAGAAGCTCTAGAAGAGGTCGGTTGAATTATGCAGCATCTGGAGCATCGGAAAGCCCTCTGTTTTGATCCTGTTTTTAGGACATATGGCTTGGGTCCGCATTTCCGGAAGCTCTCTGTTGGGTTCAAGGCCTGTCGGCGCTTACGACCACGAGTTTGGAGTTAAAAGGTCTATCTATAGGCCAAGATTGAAGATCTATAGGTGGCGTAACCGGCTTCGGGTTTGGTGGAGTTGAAGGATCAGAACTCACCATGTAGGAATTCGTGGAAAGGATCCAAAATTTAAATTAAAGCCTCATTCCATGTGGGCGGGTCCCAACAAGCAGTGCTTTGTTATGGTGCGCAGGGGTCCCGCAAATATCCTCACACCTGCGAGGTCACTTGAGCGATGTTTTATGGTTTCAGGGTTGCGGGGGAACTCAGCAAAGCATTCCTCGAAGCTCGGGTTCGGACTTCGCCTAAAGAAAGGTGAGTTCAAGCTTCACCTGGGGATGTTGATGTCATCTTGGATTGCACGGAGCTGGCTCACAGCGCTGCAACCGGAAGCCTTTCATGGAGCGTTCATGAAAGCAAGCAGTCCCCAAACCCTGAACCGGAGAAACCCCAAACCTAAACATCCCGGACCTTAAACGTATGCCTTAGGTTCCTAAGTGGTCCTATCCAAAGCCTCCACGATGGCCAACAAAGCCATCTGGCTGCCAAGTCAAGCCATTGCTGGTGCGGCGTATGTTTTAGAGAATACAATTATTCGTTGTGGTTTGTTTCTGGTGTGTGAGGGAATATGATCCTCGTTGACCTGGCTTTCGAGTTTCTACAGATATTTTTGATAAGTTGTTGATCTTGGTGCACCGAATCCTGATGGTCTTAATGGCCACCGGGGGTCAGGCTAAGCCAGTTCCGCACTTAGGGTGGTTTACGGTATAGGAGGTGCGGTCATACATAGGATGGCCAATTGCGACTTAGAGTGTCTTCTTTAGAATCCACATGTAATCACTTGTAGAGGTGATAAGGCGATTCTGCATTGGGTCGGAAAGGTTTCTTAAGCAGCCCACGGAAATTGTACCGTGGTTTATTACGCATGTCATAAGTTGATATGCCCAGAGGCCCCAGCAGACAGACTGGCCTGCATCTCACGCAGTAACTGTCTGGAGAAGCGGAATCCCGGCTCCAGCCCCAAAGCCGTAAGCCCCTGAAGCTGCGTAGAGGGATGTAGAGGGATCCCTGAAGCTTCCTCAAGCTTCAACCTCACTGCACGAAGCTATCTAAATCCTGGTTTTTGGCAGATTTAGGTTGCCTTCGAGGATGCTTTTACGGGGAACCTTACTCCAGAGCGTTTCCAAGTTCTCATTCGTTCGAAGATCGTTAAACTAAGCCATAAGCCCTGAACCCCAAAGCCCGGACCCCTCAACCCTATCCTTGCATGTCTACCGCAGAAAGCCGCTCAGGTGCTCGAAAATGCGGATCCTTGGTCTTGGTTCGGTCCGTACAGCAGAGGAGGGCTCAGGTTTCACAGGTTCATCTGGAGGAAGGGCTTATTCAGTAACAACGCCCGCTTAACCGCTCAGAGTTAAGATCCGATTGTGTCAGAATTGTGCAAGAACATGTTTCTGCAAGACTCCCTCTTTACTCCCTCCCCGAGCCTTGCAACCCCATGGTCACAGGTTCCGCGACCATAGGGGGCAATTAGGTTCATGTTCCGCTGCGGTATCATGGAAATATCACGGCGGAGTCACCAAAGCCTCATCAGGGCAGATAGTCCCTGAATGCGGATGTGGCTTCGCCTGATCTCTGGTGGCCACAAGAAACATCAAGAAAACCCGAAACTGTTGGGTTTGGGGAATCATCAGGTCGTGAGTCTCATTGCAGAGAAGACAAGGAATTATTGTATTGTAGGCATCGTACAAGGCTTGTTGGTGGGAGACTTGTAAAAATCATTGTAACGGATTGCCCAAAACACTCAGGAGCTCAAGGGACCAATCTGCACCTCGTTTAGCTGCAGGTCATTGCACGAAGGTAATTAAGTTGAATAGTTCCAATCTGGAATTAGGGATACCGTAAGCAGTGGGCAGTTGGGGTGACTAAGACACCCCAAACCATGTAGGTGACTCCCTCCAGGCGGTTGGGCCCCACCAAGGCCTAAGCGATCCTTGGTAAATTCCAAAACACCGGCCGAGTCAAGGCTGCAATCCTAGCTCAAACTGTTCCCTACGACACAAAGCCTGCAACCCCATGGTCATCGGTTCCCGAAGTACTGCCCCGAGGTTCACCCGGTATTAACCCCGGATTTGTCATTTGTGTTTGCCCAGGATGTCATCCTCGCCGCAGCAAAGAAGCTCAATTTGAGCGAGAAGTGTCGGCTGCTTGCGCAAAATCCTTGCGCCGAAAGCTCAGACAACAGGCTTCAATTCATAGTTCAGCTGCTATGCGTAGCCGCTTTGCCCATTGCTTACTTGAGCTTCAGGGATATCCGACTCTCTGGATACACTCTCCACACCTCTGCAGCCCAAGAAGGCCTTGGAATGGGCTATGGTTAAATCATCGTAAGAAACCCTTTGTTCAGGGTAGTTTGCTGAATTGTTGTGCTGGGAGTAGTATTGGTTTTGAACATTAGATTCTTTAGATCATGGCATAGTGTAAAGTAGCATGCTATATAAACATACAAACAAACACCTCTGTACTGTTGTGCCGCCTTATGTCACATTATGTGAAAGATGTCAGTAGCACTGCACAAGGCTTCCGGATGTCGGATGCAAGGGTCGTTCGGCGGCCCACTCACTCCCCTTGCTTTGGCAATCATAGCAATACTATCAATAGTATCAACAACGGTTTAGCAGAAATGGGAGTAGTGGTAGTAGTCGTCGTCGTCATCGTCGTCGGTCGTAGTGGCAGTAGTAGGAATACCAGTAGTATTAGGAGTAGTAGTGGTAGTAGTCGTCGTCGTAGCAGTAGTAGTGGCAGGAGTCGTGGTGGTAGTAGTTGTAGTAGCAGGAGCAGTAGTCGTAGTAGTAGTAGTAGTAGTAGTAGCAGTAGCAGCAGCAGAAGTCAATAATGTTTGGCTATAAATCAGTTGTTATGAAAGATTGGAAAAGACAAAACCAGATAAAAAGTTTAAGCAGAACGATTATGAAGAGATAA